GGCAGCCTGGGGCCCACTCGTCTCTCTGCGAAGGGACCCCACAAATCCCCCCAGCAAGGGGGACCCTATTCATATACCGCCCATCAGCTGCCCCCGGGTGCTTCTGAAGTGGCCACATCCCTGCTGATTCTCCGTCTGCAGTTGCTGACAAGAGAAGGGAGGAGGAAAAGGAGGAGGAGTCTGCAGTCTGCAGCCCTGCCCTGCCCTGCCCTGCCCTGCCCTGCCCTCCCTGCGGGCTGCCTTCCTCGGTGGATTCCAGGAAGCCTCCCTCGGCTCCCGGGCCCCCTGAGTGCCGTCTCTTCCAGGGCAAGGCGCCGGCTTGCACTCAGCCTCCCTCCGCCCGCCCAGTCTGGATGGCGGAGCCAGCACTAACTGGCCTTTGGGGACAGAGCCCAAAACCAGACCCATCCCAGCTGCAGGCTTCTTAATGCCTCTCAGAGGACACTGCACACCGGCCTGAGGTTGCTCACCTTCCTCTCAGAGACTGTTACACTAACAGCCAGAGCCGCTGCGTCTGCAGGGCCCCGGGACTCAACCCACACCAGCGTCCATGCCAGGACCCCACACACGCTCGCCCTCCAGATGCCACCCCTGGACCCGAAAGTGTGAGCCGCAGCCCCGCTCGACACCAAGGCTGCCTCAGGACCCGAAAACACTGACACCCGCGTCAGCCCCCACAGGGCGGAGAGGGGAGCCCTCGGGGACAGACCGACCAACCTGCTCCCGGGGACCACCAGCCACCAGCCCGGGCTCCTGGTTTCTCTCCAAGACAGGCATTTATTAGTTTGATTTCAACACACACACGTACCTGTAATTACTATATAATGTCTGTTTACTTTTTTAAATGAAAATGAATTTAAATTAATCTTGTTTTGTGACTGCCAAGGCACCCCCGGAGATCTCCGAAGACACTCCAGGGTGTCATCAAGCAGAGCCAGGAATTCAAGGTAGAGACATGAGCTCATCAGCCTTCCCCCGCGAGGGAGGGGAGGGAGAGGCGCGTGTGGGAGACACCTGCACGCGCACGTCTGCACACGTGCACGCACTCACTTACACACACGCCCACACCCACTCAAGTGCCCACACTCACCTTTGGGCCTGACAGAGGCACACTCTCACTGACTGCACCCACGCCCACTCACGTGCCTGGGACGCTCACGTGTACACACTCTCGGGTGACTGGGTGAGCTGCAGCCTGTGCTGATTCATGGACCCTTTGTGCCACCTGCCCCAGTGTCCGGAACCTCCCAGGCCCCTGCGTCGTGGCAGGGACCCCAGAGAGAGACAAAGGCTGTGTCTGAGGCTGTGGAGACCCCAAGGTTGCAGGTACACACAGAGATGGGACATTCGGAGACATTTTCCGGTGAATCTCCCAAGAGATCCCACACCAGGAAACAAGGATATACAGGTGGAACTTTCCAGAAGCTCTTGCACTGGGGAAGGGAGTACTTCAATGATGCTGCAATAAGGACATACATATAGTGAGGGCATTAAGTGCCTTGAGATGCTCTCGGCACAGATGTGGTCAGTGTGAGACCACAGATGCCGCCTCAGAGAGCACAGACTTGGGGATGGAAGAGCAGGGCAGGACCCCAAAGAGCAGGTAAGCCCCTGCGGGGGCTGGGCGTACCATTGTGCAGGCAGGAAGTGAGAGCAAGGGGCTCGCTGGGGACCCCATGTGGGCTGCAGTACAAGGAACCTTCTGTTTATTGTAATTGAATCACCATGAGATAGAGCATTACAAAGCTTTCATGAGTCATGCTGTGTTCCAACACCCATCCTTCCACCAGCGTAACTTTCCAGAACCAGTGTCCCCAGTTTCCCTCCCGCCCCTCCAAACCACCCCTGCCCCCGCCTGCCTCTATGGAAGGCACCTCTCCTCTCTCCTCTCTCTCCCTCTCTCTCTTCCTCTGTCTCCTCTCTCTCTCCCTGTCACCTCTCTTCCTCTCTCTCCTCTCTCTCCTTCTCTCTCCCTCTCTCCCTCCCTCCCCCTCTCTCCCTCTCCCTCTCTCTCCTTCTCTCTCCCTCTCTCTCTCCTTTCCCTCTCTCCTCTCTCTCCCTCTCTCTCTTCCTCTGTCTCCTCTCTCCCTGTCACCTCTCTTCCTCTCTCTCCTCTCTCTCCTTCTCTCTCCCTCTCTCCCTCCCTCCCCCTCTTTCCCTCTCCCTCTCTCTCCTTCTCTCTCCCTCTCTCTCTCCTTTCCCTCTCTCCTCTCTCTCCCTCTCTCTCTTCCTCTGTCTCCTCTCTCTCTCCCTCTCTGTCACCTCTCTCCCTCTCTCTCCTCTCTCCCTCTCTTCTCTCTCTCCCTCTCTCTCCTTTTCCCTCTCTCTCCCTCTTTCTCTTTCTCCTTTTCCCTCTCTCTTCTCTCTCTCCTCTCTCTCTCCCTCTCTCTCTTCCTCTGTCTCCTCTCTCTCTACCTCTCTCTCCCTCTCTTCCTCTCACTCTCCTCTCTCCTTCTCTCTCTCCCTCTCTCTTCTCTCTCCCTCTCTCCCTCTCACTCTCCTTCCTCTCCCTCTCTCTTTCTCTCTCTCCCTCTCTCTTCTCTCTGTCCCTCTCTCCTTTTCCCTCTCTCTCCTCTCTCTTTTCTCTCCCTCTCTCTCATTGTGGTTTGCAAGACAGATGCTAAAAGGTCATCACATCCCTTTACCTACTTTCAACACTCAGTCCTTGTCCAGAGTGGTCATTTCCAACTAATGTTGTCCTAATGGACCCTCCTCTGCCTTAATCACCCTCCACATCCCCACACCCTTGTGGTCATTTCCAGCCATTGATTAGTCCTGTGAGGAACCTTCTAGAAGCAGCAGCCTGGACAGACAATGGAGAGTCAGAGTCGGGGAAAGGGCTTGGGGGGCCGGGCACAGGCGGCCCTTCCCAGGGGCACTTTCACCCGCCACATGGCCATGAGCCACAGGCTTTGATGGTGGAGAGTGGGAAGGAACATTTCCAGAAATCCCCTCGGAAAGGAAGCCTGGGGGTCACACCCTTCCTGAGAACAAAACAGGAAAGGGGGCATGGCCAAGCACACATTCTTGGACTCCTCCTGACCCTGTCCCCAGCGGTGGCCACGGCGCCCGGAGCGTGGCACTCCCCACCCCACCGCCTGCTCTGAACAGCGGTGCCAGCGCCCAGCCTGGCATCCAGTGGCAGGTAGAGTTTGGGGATGGGTCTAGGATGCTGCGTGGGGTCCCCATGGAGAGCTGCGGGGACAGAACCCAGCAAGGCCGCCAGCGCCACCGTGTGGCCACCCGCGGAAGGACGCTCAGGCGGGCGCACCCGCCCGTGCCAGGACCAGCCTGTGTGTTGCAGGCTGCACCCTGGCCCCAGATGTCCGAGCACTGAGTAGACCCCGCACACGCAATGCCCACACCCTCACCGTCCCGCTTCCTTGCCTCACAGCTGTGCCCAGGTGGGAAAGCCTTGGGATACGCACAGACGCAATTGCTGATCACCTTCACTTTTCAAAATAGACTCGTTTGGGGGCTGGAGAGAGAATACAGCGGGTAGAGCACCCGTCTCGCACGTGGTCAGCCCGGGTTCAGGGCCCCGCATCTCATATACTCGGTGCCCTAAGCACCGAGTCAGTCCCGAGCATCACCAGGTGTGACCCCCCAAAAATAAAATAAATCAAACTTGCTTTTATTTTTATTTCATTGTGGGGAGGACACACCAGCTTGCACAGGCTTTACTCTTTTTTTTTTTCTTTTTAGGCCACACCCGGCGATGCACAGGGGTTACTTCTGGCTCTGCACTCAGGAATCACTCCTTGCGGTGCTCGGGGGGCCATCTGGGATGCTGGAAATCGAACCCGGGTCGGCCACGTGCAAGGCAAATGCCCTACCCGCTGTGCTATTGCTCCTGGATTTGCTCCCTACTCCTGGATTTACTCCTGGGTTTGTTCCCAAGGGCCACTCCTGGTGGAACTCAGAGGACACTCTGCAGTGCTGGGAATCACACCTGGGTCCGGTGTGTGTAGGGTGAGTGTCCACCCCACTATGCTGTGACTCCAGCCCTTCAATTGGGCCTTATTAGAATTTCTCCTCTTCCTTCTATCTGAAAGACACCGTCCACCTACAGTTGCTCAAGACTGGACTGTTTGAGACCACAACACCCAAAAGGAGAGAGAGAACAGAGGGGAATGCCCTGCCACAGAGACAGGGAGGGATGGGGGGATGGGGGATGGGAGGGATACTGGGATTCGTGGTGGTGGGAAATGGGCACTGGTGGAGGGAGGGGTATTTGATCATTGTCTAATCGAAACCCAAGCACAAAAAAATGTAAATCTACAACTGTACTTCATGGTGTTTCACTAATAAAAATTAAAATAAAATTTAAAAAAAAAAGACTGGACTGTTTGAGTGGCCACGCTTTGCTGGTCAGTGTCCAGGAGAAGGAGTTCACGGAGGCTTGGGGTGGGGAGGTCACTGAGATTCCCAAGGGTCTGTGGGACCGTTTCCCCCTCCTGACCCAGTGCCCCCGTCCTGCCAAGCCACGAATCCACGTCACTGTCCACAAGGACCAGAAGGGAGCACGGGAGGCCGGCAGCGTCCGTGGAGGGGGGACCCCGGGCATCCGCCGTCCGGGAGCCGAGCACCAACGGAAAGGAAACCAGAGGCGGGGTACGGACACCCCAAACTTCTCTCTGTGCTAAGGGTGGCCCCACCGGGCAGGGTGACCCCACTGGACAGTCCCCAGCGGCCGGGCGGTGCAGTTCCCTCAATCGGCCGCCGGGTGGCAGCAGAGCACGGGGCCGGCTCCGCGGTCGGGAAAACCCTCCCGAGCCGGCTCTAGGTTTCCCTTCACCGCCCACTGGAGGCTCCGCCAATCCCCGTCCGTACCGCGGCAGTACTCCCGCCCCCGCAGACCAGAGAGCCAATCCGCGAGCGCCTCAGGGCCCCGCCCCCGGGAGTCCGGCCAATCGCCGCGCCGGCGGTGCCGTCAGTGGGCGGGGCCTGCGAGCCGCGTGACGCCGGAAGGTCCCGGCGCCGGTCACCGGGCGGGCTCACGTGGTCTCCAGCGGCGGGCGGGGGAGGGTCTCCCGGGGTGGGCGTGCGCGTGACCCCTGCCCTCCGCCCCCAGCCATGAGCGCGCAGCCCCCCAACTTCTCGTGGGTGCTGCCCGGCCGCCTGGCGGGGCTGGCGCTGCCCCGGCTGCCCGCGCACTACCGCTTCCTGCAGGAGTGCGGCGTCCAGCACCTGGTGTCGCTGACCGAGCACCGGCCCCCGCACGCCGACAGCTGCCCCGGCCTCGCGCTGCACCACCTGCGCGTCCCCGACTTCACGCCGCCGGCCCCCGAGCAGATCGACCGCTTCGTGCAGCTGGTGGACGAGGCCAGCGCCCGCGGCGAGGTCAGCCGGAGGAGCTGGAGTGGACACCGGGCCGGGCTGGAGCGCGGGCGGGAGTGGGCGCTGCGCCCCGGCTGGGCCGGCCGGCGTCCAGCGTGCGGCGGGGCGGCGGGAGGGGAGGGCTGGAGGGGCCCAGCGTCCAGGGCAGTGCCCGGTGCGTTCGTGCCCTCATTCGGAAGTGCCCTCGTCCCCCGGATCGGGGGCTTGACCATCAGACAGAGGGGAAGGCGCTGCCTCGCAGTGGACACGCCAGCCTCCGTCCCTGGCATCACGTAGCGTCCCCCGAGCCCCACCAGGAGTGATCGATCCCTGGGAGTCAGCCCCGAGCCCCACCAGGAGTGATCGATCCCTGAGCACAGAACCGGGAGTCAGCCCCGAGCCCCACCAGGAGTGATCGATCCCTGGGAGTCAGCCCCGAGCCCCACCAGGAGTGATCGATCCCTGAGCACAGAACCGGGAGTCAGCCCCGAGCCCCACCAGGAGTGATCGATCCCTGGGAGTCAGCCCCGAACCCCACCAGGAGTGATCCCTGAGACAGAGCCAGGAGTAAACCCCCGGCATCCCTGGCTGTGGCCCGAGTATGTTTTTAAAAAGAATGAAAATAAAGGCGCGTTCTCAGAATGTGAGGTTCTGTGGAGTCTGGGAGACGGGAGGGAAGCAGAGTGGCCCCAGTGATGGTAGTTTAGCCTGCAGGTCCAAGCCGGGTGTGAGTGGACAGGACTGGGATGAGCATCCCCGATGGGTTGTCCCACGCTGGGGTCACCCCCCTTTGGAGGGGCTGCGGGTCCAGCTTCCCCTGCCCTCTTGCAGGCCGTGGCCGTGCACTGTGCACTGGGCCGGGGCCGGACCGGCACCATGCTGGCCTGCTACCTGGTGAGGGCCCAGGGCCTGACCGCGGGGGACGCCATCGCAGAAATCCGGCGCCTTCGGCCGGGCTCCATCGAGACCCACGAGCAAGAGAAGGCCGTGTTCCAGTTCTACCAGCGGACCAAGTAGGCTGGGCCCCCGCGAACCCCGGAGCTCCCGGCTGGCACTACTGGGGACCCGCTGCTGCTCACAATAAACCTTCACGAACTGTCGCGGGACTGAGTTTCTGGTGCGAGGAGGTCTGCGTGCCCTTGGTGTGGGTGAGGTACTGGGTCTGGGAGGCCTGGCCAGAGGCGTTAGGCAGTGGGGATCACACGGGGACCACATGGGGTCCTGGAGCTGCTGCCGCGTGTGGCCTCCATGCAGAGTCTCGGTGACCCGTGGAGCACACAGTCAGTCCGCACCCCAGAACCAAAAAGACACTCTACCTGCCAAGGCCCTGTGCTGCCCAGTGCAGTCTCTCCCAAGGCCAGCTGGGCTGGACACTCATTGGGAGTTTGTGCCTAGAGTGTGGGACCCAGGAGACCCCTTGTCCAGCCCCCCCCAGATGCTCAGGGCACTAGAGACCCACCTGCTCCTGGCCCCACGGGGGTGCCCCGGGCAGTACCCCCGCTGGCCTGGCCCTCTGCAGGAGCCCAGTTGGAGACTTCCTCCTGCGCCTGGTTTCCGCCAGGCCTGCCGGAGTAGACCCCATGTGCCAGCATCCAGGCCACAGAGCGGATGAGGGCGCAGGCTCCCCTCACCGGCCACCCCACAGCGTCAGGGTCCATGGTGTGTCTCAGGCACCCAGAGCCACTGCCAAAGGGGGCCTGCACCTGTGTGCCCACGTGCAGTGAGCATGTCACGTGAGGTGTGTGCATGTCTGTGTGTACACATGCAGTGAGTGTGTGCAGTGTCTGTGTGTCGTATATGGAATACATGGTCCATGTGAACTGTGTGTGTGCATGCAGTGTGCACAGTGTGCCCCGTGGCGTGCATGTATGTGTGAACTGTCTGCGTGGAGGGAGTGTGCAAGGTGTGTCACGTGCGGTGTGCATGTATGTGTGAGCTGTGTGTACATGCAGTAAGTGTGCAGTGTGTGTCACGTGTGGGATGTGTGCATTGTCTGTGTGCAGTGCCTGCATATGCATGTGTACCATGAATGTACATGTGTGTACTGCCAATGTGCATGTTCACATAGGCGGGTCTGCATGTACACATGTGCAGCATGCATGTAGGCGTGTGTACTACCCGTGTACAGGCAAGTGTGTGCCGTGTCTGCATGGTGCACCGGTTGGCGTGCCGTGACACAAGTTGCAGGACCCTCTCTGGGACCCCCACCCCCAGATGGGAGCCAGGTGCGGAGGTAGCACCCGGGTCCCTGCGTCTGTTCCCGGCAGGGGACCCTCCCCCTCTCCTGGAGCAGGCTGCCACCCCTTCCTCGAGACCCAGGTTCTCACACCCGCCCTCCTTGATTTAAGCAGGTCTCTTCTGCCTGAGAGTTCCTTGGGGAAATAAACATGTAATTATGTGCTTAAGGAAATGGGTTTGAAATAAGTGAGTGTTGACTTGGAATGAGCACTCAGCCCTCCCCTCCCTGTCCCTCCCAGAGGAGGCTGCAGGACTGTCCCCGCCCTGGGTTAGCATGCCCACCCACCCTGCACAGGGGAGGCTGCAGGACCGTCCCCTCCCTTGGTTAGCCTGGCCGCCCCACCCTGCACGGGGGAGGCTGGTCTGTGAGATTGCAACTGTGCCCACCAATGGCCTTGAAATCAGGGTCCACCTCCTTGTGGCCTCCAGTGAGCACAGGCCACTGGGACCAAGGTCGTTTCGAAGGTCACACTGCAGCAGGGACGACTCTCCGTCCTGTCTGAGGCCTCCAGCTCACAGCTGGGCCCTGGACCCGTCCCACAGCTGGACTCTGAGACTCTCAACCACAGCAGAGCCGGGACCACTGGGCCGGACACTAGCGAAACACAGACACCCCCTCCCCGTGGTCACCGCCTGCCTGCTCAGTGCCAGGAGACGTGACCTGGAGGGCGGCTGTGGCCAACTGTCCTGCAGTGTCGAGCAACCACTCTGAGCCTAAGGGGTGCGAGGAGCCCGGCGGGCGCCTCTCCTCCTTCAGGACCCACTGGGAAGCCCTGAGCCTGCTGGGGCTCCTCCCCACACTCACCCCGCATCACAGCTCACTGTGTCCTGTACGAAGGTTCTTACACATGGGGGCTGGCGCGATAACACAGCGGGGAGGGCATTTGCCTTGCACACGGCCAACCCGGGTTCGATTCCCAGCATCCCATAGGGTCCCCCGAGCACCGCCATGTGTGATTCCTGAACGCAGAGCCAGAAGAAACCCCTGTGCATTGCCCCGTGTGTGACCCATAAAGCAAAAAAAATAAAAAACAAAAACAAAGGCCCCTACACACACACACACACACACACACACACACACAGACACCCCACAAACACGGCTCACGTGTTGTATACAAAGGCTCCTACACGCACACACCCGCAAACACAGCTCACGTGTCCTGTACAAAGGCTCCTACACCCCCACAAACACAGCTCATGTGTCCTGTGCCTGGGCTTCTACACGCCCACCCCCGCAAACACAGGCTCGCACCCTTAGGCTCCTGCTGCCGGGGCATGGGGCAGGCTGGAGCAGGCCCACAGGGGCGGGGGAGCTGGTTACCGAGTGCAGGGCTGTGGGGAGACTGACAGGCAGGGAGAGTCTGGGGGAGCAGAGCCCAGAACCGAACAGGATGGAACGTTCTCCCTGCTCTGACCCTAGACGCCAGGCCCCCCCTGGACACGCCATCTGTCCAGTGCACACCTCCAGACCCCTGACCTCCACCTCCTTTAAACGCTTGGGGTCGGGGACATAGTGAAGAGGGCTGGCCCCCAGGCCTGGCGGGCGCGGGGCCCCGGGTTCGATCCCCGGCACCGCAGGGTCTCCGGAGCAGGACTGGGGATAGCCCTGCTGGCCTTGGCTCTGCTGGGGAAGCCCCAGAACCAAGCAGAAATAAACAAACACAGCTCAGCTCTTCCTTGTCTGCCCGGGGACCTGGAAAATAAGCAAATTGACGGGAATGGAATTGCCTGGCTCGGCGTTGTGTTCTAAGCGCGTGAGCGCGTGAAATAGGTTTTGTTTGACAGTGGTAAACAGAAAACCCCGAGGCCTCAGCGGGACCACGCGGCTTTTTTCCTTGCTTCCAGGGAAGTGCGGCTCCAGCCCTGCCCCTTGTTCCGGGGGCCCCATGGGCAGGTGGGGACGGTCCTCCATCAGCTCCCGTGTGACCTAGCAGGCCCTGGCCAGGAGGGCTGGAGAGGACAGTCTGGGTGAGGTCCCTGCTGGGACACGCCGGCCGCAGGACAGGGGATTGGGGGGGTGGGGGGCGGAGAGAGACCACATGCCTGGGCCCCTCCGCCCTCCTCAGGTCCGAACTCAGGCAGAGGTGCAGTGGGCAGAGAGCAAGAGTTTTACCACGCCGGACAGTGGCCGGAGAGACGGCCCAGTGGGTAGGGCACTTGCCCTGCACACCGGCTGACCCAGGTTTAATCCCTGTAGCACTCCACGCCCGGCCAGGTGTGATCCCTGAGTGCAGTCAGGAGCCGGCCCTCAGCACCGCGGGGTGTGGCCCCAGAACAAACACAAAGGGAATTCGGGATGGATCCGTGGGTGGGAGGCGGATGAAGGCGGGTGCGTGCAGGCACGCAGCACCGGAGCGAAGAGGCTGGTTGGGTGAGTGTCTCGGGGCTACCGGGCCCGCGGGGGTAGTTCGCAGTGTGGCCACCAGGGGTCACTGCAGCCCTGAATGTTCACAGCCTGCCCCGCCCTCCACGCCAACCCCCCCAGCCCACCTCCCGCCCCTCCTGCTGTAGCCCAAGCCCCGTTCCAGGACCCCCAGCAGCTTCCAGGTTTGGAGTCGGATCCAGCCTCCCAACTTGTTCTTTCAGACCAAACCGCCCCGTCTCAGGCTTCCCCCTACACACACACACACACACACACACACACACACACACACACCCCTCTGCCTTCCACTGGGCTGCAGCACCCCCCACACACAAACACACACACACACACACACACACACACACACACACCTCTGCCCTTCTACTGGGCTGCAACCCCTGCCCACACACACGTACACACACACACACACACACACACCCCTCTGCCTTCCACTGAGCTGCAGCCCCCGCACACACACACACATACACACACACACACACACACACACACACCTCTGCCTTCCACTGGGCTGAAGCGCCTGCACACACACACACACACACACACACACCCCTCTGCCTTCCACTGGGCTGCAGTCCCCACCCCCACTTCGTGGGCCCTGATGTTGGAGCCCAGGTGTGGCTCACACTCCCTACAGCCCAGGTGTGGGTCATGCTCCCTGAAGTCCACCTTGCCCGCCCTGCCGCCTGCAGCTGGGGAGACGGGGTTCCAGAAACCGCTGGACTCTGATCTCACGGCTGACTCAGGCACCAGTGCTCTCCCCGAAAGCCACATCTAAGCAGCCCGGAGGAGCACTCGCGCTGTCCTGCCGACCTCACCTGAACCCAGCATGACCTCGCCATGGCTCAGTGCTGGGGCCGCCCCGACTCCGCGTGGCAGCCCGGGGGGGGGGGGGGGCAGAGGGCAGAGGCTTTGTGAGGGGCACTCGCAGCGGGTGACACCCCGCGCTAAGTCACACAGCGCCCGTGTCTCCCTGCAGAGTAAACAGGTTTGCGATTCAACAATCATGCGGCGTTTTATTAAAAATCAATGGCCGTGGATTCTTCTTTTCTATCTATTTTGGCTCAAATTTCCTTCTTTTGGTTCACTTTTCTTTTTGAAATTGATTTTTTGGGGTAATGGCACGCCCCTTCCACTACCACCACCACAGTTCTGCTGGGTGAGAAAAAAAAAAGGTTCTGGGGCTCTGAGTAGTAACGAGAGGGAGGGGGGAGGGGGGGAGGGGAAGTCGGTATTGTAGGGCCTCAGAAATCCAAAGCTCGGGCTCCAGGTAAGGATGGAGAGTGTAGTGCTGAGAAGAGACAGTGATGGGGAGAAAGACAGTAAGGGGACTCGGGAGGCCCCCTGAGTCCCAGGGACCTGGGTAGCAGTGGGTTCAGGAGAGAGGAGGAGGGAAAGGCATTGGGGGACTGAGAGGAGGGGGGGAGGAGGAGAGGAAAGAGGAGGAGGAGGAGGAGGAGGAGGAGGGAGGAAAGAGGGGAGGGAGAGGAATAGGAGAAGGAGGAGGAGGGGGTGAAGGAGAGGAAGGGGGAGAGGGAGGAGGAAGAGGGAGGTGAGGGGGAGGGAGGAGGGGGAGGGGAGAGGGAAAAGAGGGAGGAGAAGCTGGAGGAGAGGGGGGAGGGGAGGAGGGGAGGGGGCCATCTGAACTGAACAGACTACATTGCCACCCTCCATCTCTCCGGCTCTCAAACAGGGGCCCAGCAAGCTCGGGGTCCATCCCTGAGCCCCGCCCACTGGCCGCAGCCCCCACGAGCCAGGCCTGGCGGAATTGAAATCAGCGGAAAAGGGTGTGTCCATCTGAGAGAGACCACCGCACACCTGGGCTGCCCCGCCCCCCCTCCCACCATCCTCAAGGACCCAGGCACAGCAAGCGGAGGTGACACCTGCTGCCGCCAGCCCTGAGCATCCCGTGTCACCCACAAGGGGCGTGGCTGCAAGTCCGCCCGCCCCTGCTGCTGATGGGGAGATAGATGCTCAGCATCGCGGTCAGTCTCCCATGACCAGCTTCTGGGGCCACTTGCCCTCTGGCTGGCTGCCACTGTCCTGTGCCCCAGTGGGGCATGGCCTGAGGGACCCACCACCTCTCTGCCCTTCGGAGTCCCCAACCCCAGCCCGACCCTCTGCGCCCAGCAGCCAGCCTGCTCTGGATACCGCCACTTCAGACAGTGAAGGGGCTGGGGACTCCAGGGGTCCCTAGGGACAGACAAATGCGGGCCCCAGCAGAAGAAGCTGGTGACGGCCTGGCAGGGAGCCAGGTGGCCTCCAGGCTTCTGGGAAGGGCGCCTAGAGTCTCTCTCAGCCACCCGCCCCCCCACCCCAGGAAATTCCTTGGCAGGCGCACCTCCAGAGCGCAGCGTGGGGGCTGGGCAGGGCAGCGCGGAGCTTAGACAGGACTAGACAAAGCCCGCGAAAGCCCCGCCCGGTCGGTGGACTTGTCCTACGCGCTGCTGAGCGCGTTTCCACCTGACACTCTGGGGCTCATCCCCTGCCTTCTGGCCCTCGGGGGGTCACGTCCAGCTCCCAGGTCTGCAGCGGCGAGGGTCAGACGGGGCGGCCGCGCCTTCTCCGCCCCGCCAGGTCTTGGCGGGCGCACTGGACATGGGTGTCGCCGCGGACTCCGGCGCAGCCCCACCGGACTCCAAAAAGGACAGTAGCCTGGTCTCAGATGGTCTTACATTGTCTTTATTGTGCTAACGCTGCGCCGGCTCGTTCCTTCCACGGCAGTTCCTGCAGACCCGCCCTCCCGGCCCAGGGGCCCGGCAAGGGCTCACCGCTCGCCTGGTCTCCACCCGCACACCTCGGATCGCGGCTCAGCCTGGGGCTGCCGCCGCCGCCGCCGTCTCCCTCCGTCCCTCCCCGGCTACCGGCAGGGGCTCGGCGCGTCTCAAGGAGCCGCGCCCACACTCGGCGACGGGGCGCGAGTGCCCCGCCGGAGCGCGCGCCCCTCCCGAGCGCGCGTCGCGTCCGAGCGCGCGTGTCCCCGCCGGAGCGCACGTCCGTTCCCGAGCGCGCGTGTCCCCGCCGGAGCGCACGGCCGTCGTCCCGAGCGCGCGTGTCCCCGCCGGAGCGCACGTCCGTTCCCGAGCGCGCGTGTCCCGCCGGAGCGCACGTCCGTTCCCGAGCGCGCGTGTCCCGCCGGAGCGCACGTCCGTTCCCGAGCGCGCACGTCCCCGCCGGAGCGCACGTCCGTTCCCGAGCGCGCGTGCCGCCGGAGCGCACGTCCGTCGTCCCGAGCGCGTGTCCCCGTCGCGGCGCGCGTCCGTCCCGGGCGCGTGTCCCCGCGGCGGCGCGGCCGGGGCCGGCGCGCTCACACCAGGAGCCCGTCCTTGTGGGGCAGCTGCGCCTGCGCGCACTCGGGCTCGGCGCTCTGGACCTTGACGTAGACCGGAGCCGGGCCCGCTTCGCAGGCGGCGGTGCGGGGCGCGAGCGCCACGTCCTCGGGGCCGCCGCAGGGCGGGGGCGCGTAGTGGCGGCGCCGCGAGCGGCGGACGTTCTGCGTCGGGTACCCCAGGAGCTGGGACACGCGGCTGCCGCGCCCGCTGGCCTTGCACCCGGGCGCCACGTCGTCCTCTCTGTGGAAACAACAGGCGCGGGTGAGCGGGCTCCCGCGGCGCGCGTGGCACGGCCTGGGCACAGCGGGTCCCGGCAACCGGGCCCGCGCCCCACCTGCCCCGCCGCCGGCGAGCGGCGCGCGGGCATCCTCGAGCCGGCTGGTCCCGCGCGGCCCGCACGCCTCGGCGCGTGTCCCGGCGCGGTCCTGGACGGACCCTCGCTGCGCGGCCCTCGCCCTCCTCTCTCTCTCCTCTCTCTCTCCTCTCTCTCTCTCTCTCTGCGCCTCTCACCTCCTCCTGCCCGGCCTCCGTCCGGTCCTGTCCCCCCCTCCCGGGCAGTCGTTAGCACCGCTAGACCTGTTCTACGTCTATTCCTAGTTCGCCTCTAAGGTAAGTGACTGGCTCTACGCTACGTGGACGCTGGTCAGCTAGCACGTCCGGAGTGCGGCCGGCGCGGACACGAGACGGGAGGACGCGCCCTGCCCTCCAGGAGCGTACAATCTAGCTGGGGGCCGCGGGCGTGCGGGGCAGGGGCCGTGCGTGGCGCAGGCGAGCGTGCTGCGGTCCCGGCCGGCGCTCCGCGGCTGCAGGTGGCGGGCGGGCGGGGGTGAGGAGGAGGGCGGGGCGCCGGCCCCCCGGCCCTCGCATGCTGCATGCATCAGGTTTTACCTGATCTCGCTAGCCAGGTCGCCGCAGGCCCCGCCGCCGACCCCGCCGCCGACCCCGCCGCCGTAGCCGAAGGCCCCGCGGGCGCCGCCGCCGACGCCGCCGCCGTTGCAGCAGCAGCAAACCAGCCCCCAGATGCCCATCATGAGGCAGGCGAGCATGAGGAGCGAGCCCAGCACGGCGCCGACGATCATGCCGATGCGGCGGGAATCTGCAGGGGGGAGGGGAGAGACGGAGGGGAGAGGGGCGCGTCAGCCGAGCGCCCCGAGGCGCGGCGGCGCGGCGCGGCGGCTCGGGGCTCCCTCCCCGCGCGCAGCCGGCCCACCTACCTGACACCTTCACCTCCACCACGCACACGCTGTAGCCCACGTGGTTGGCCACGGTGCACTGGTACAGCCCGTTGTCCTCGCTGGTCACGCCTTTCAGCAGGAGGTCCCCGTTCATTCCTGCGAGGGTGGGCGTGTCAGCGCGCGCTGCGACCCGTCCCGCTCCCCCGGCGCGCGCCCAGGAGGGTTTGCTCGCTCCCTCCCTGGAACCGGCGCCCTGGCTGCCGCACTGGTCCAGACAAGCCCCCCGCAGCTCACCTGAGCTCATGCCGCCGTGGAAAGACTCCTGGTAGGAGAGCTCCGAGTGGAAGCTGTGCTGGGAGTGGTAGGAGCCGGCGCGGTACGGGTGCGTGTGCCCGCTGATCTTGGCCCAGCGGTAGGACAGCGGCTGGGTGCCCCCGTTGGCGAAGCACTTCAGCACCACGTCGTTGCCTTGCGACATGTGGCCCTCAGCCCAGCACATGGGCACGGCGGGCCGCGCTGCGGGGAAGCGCGAGAGTGAGCCCGGCACGAGGCGGCCCCCAGGCGCCCGGGGAGGGGTGCCCGGGGAGCCCCCCTACCTTGCACGGTGACGATGACCTTCCGCGACGCCATGGTGGTCTTCTTGACCCGGCACTCGTAAGTGGCCGTGTCGGACACCTGCAGGTTCATGAGGTTGATGGAGGCGTCGTACTGGCTGGGGTCCGAGGCGGCGAAGCGGACCCTCTGCTGCAGGTGTGGCAGGTTGCCGTGGTTGATCCTCTTGTCCTGGTAACTCAGGAACTGTGTGGAGAGAGGGAGGCTGAGCCGCCGAGCCGGGAGGGCGAGGGGAGACGCAGCCAGCGATGGCGCACCCCTGGCCCACACTCACCACATTCTCCCGGTGCGCTGGGTCCGAGTTGAGCTGCATCCACTCGATGTCCAGCCCGTTGGGGCCGTAGTCCTCAGGGTCCAGGATGTAGGGGCAGCCCAGCCTCACGTTGTCCCCCTCCGCCAGGTACAGGACCTCCTGGCCATCCCCGTTGATTCTCACAGCAGACAGCAGTGCTGAGGAAGGTGGGACAGCGCACACACAGGTGGGGCTCAGCAGGGGACCCGGGTGCATGTGTGCGCCGGATCCCGGGGGGCTGTGTGCATGCGTGTCTGCATGTACGTCACGTGAGTGACTGAGTACAGGAGTGGGTGCATGGATCTGTGTGAGTGTGTTGTACTGGTGTGTGAGCAGGTGCATGGATATGACTGTGTGATCGTGTTGGCGTGTCAGTACCTGTATATATATGACTATGTGTGGTTGTCTGTGTTGGTGTGTCAGTAGGTGTGTGTATATGATTGTGTATATGTGGAGGTGTCTGTGACTGTGTCTATATGGTTGTGTATGGGTGTGTGTATATATATGTGTTTAAAAGACTGTGAAACTATATTGCTGTGTATAAAGTGTATGACTGTGTATATGTGGGAGTGTATCAATTACACTGTGTATATGACTGTGTATATTGTATGGCTGTATATGACTGTGTATGAGTGTATATATTACTGTGTGTATGGGTGTGTGTATATTACTGTATATGTGTATGGGTGTGTATATTACTGTGTATATGGTGTGTGTATATACCACTGTGGATGTGGATGTGTATATATGACTGTGTATATGTGTTACTGTGTGTATGGGGGGTGTATATGACTGTGTCTGTGGGAAGGTGTATGTCTTACTGTGTGTATTTTTGTGGCTGTGTGCCTGTGTACACAGGAGTGTGCAGAGGTGAGTGTATGTGTAGATGTTGACTTTGGGGATGGGTCCGTGGGTGTGTGCCTGAATGGTCATGTGAATGGGCATTGTGCGTATGTGAGTGTGTGCGTGTGGGCGTGGGTGCGTGCCTGTGTGTGCATGTGGACACAGGCCTGCCAGGGTGTGTGTGGCAGCGCCGTCCGTCTGCATCAGTGCGTGTGTGGGACACTGTGTGCTCCGCGTCCTTGCCCACACCAGCAAGCACTGCCGCGTGGCCCCTCCCGCCGCAGCCCTGGCCCCTCTGAGTCAGCCCCAGGCCCTGTGCCACCCGCCCGGATCTCGGGCCAGCGCGTGCCCCAACCGGTCGGCCTGGAGCCTAGCAGGAGGTGCGCCGGGCTCCCCAGCATCCGTCCGTCTCTGCATCTCTCTCGAGGCCGTGAGCCCTTTGGGCCCTGCCCGCTCGTCCCCCCTCGTACCTCCTGAGCCCTCACCCTCTGCGTGCCCGGGTTCCTCTGCCCTCACGGCACTCCAGCGCCCTCCAGCCTGCGAGCGCACCTCCCCCCCCCACACACAGACGTGCGCCCACAGTCTCCCAGACCTGGCGGCACATACGTACCCCTGCACACACACACACACACACACACACACACACACACACACACACACACACCTAAGCACCCGGCCCGGGAACGCGCAGGCAGACGACCTGCACAGGGGAAGCGTGTGCCCCGCGCCAGCCCGGACCTGCCCCACGGTGCCCCCCGGGAGGCTGCAGCTGTAAATAACGGGATGCGGGATGCAGCCCGCAGCCTGCGGCTGGGAACAGCCGGCTCCAGAGATAAAGATCAGGAGATACGGATCCGACAGAGGAGGCTGCTTCTCTTGGAACCCGGGCCGCAGGCAGCTCCGCCCAGCGCAGAGAGGTGGTGGCCGGGTTACCTTGCCTTGCCCGGCCTCTCCCTCAGCCTCCTCCCAGGTGCCCAGCCTCGGCTCATCCCCGGGACTCAATGTCACCCCCACTCCCGACAGCCGCTCGCTCCGCCAGGGTGCCCAGGGTGGCACCCCTTCAGCTCAGAAGCCCCTGGGAGGGATGCACGCCCACCGCCCCCGCCGGGAGGGTCCCAGCCCCCAGCCGCCTCCTGGGCACCTGCCAGAAGCACAGTTGATCCTGCACGCTGACTCCCAGCACCCACCCAACGGCACACCCGTGGGCTCCACGTCCCTACCACTCTCTGCTTGCCAAGCCCACGCCCGGCCCCTGCCGAAACCCCTCCTCCTGCTCCGGCACCCAGAACAGCGAACACGGCTTCGCCTGCATGGACACGCCACGAGCCCCCCAGCACGCTCTCTCCGGCAGAACCCCAGCTGGGTCGCTGGCTCGACGCCCGCCCGCCCGCCCGCCTGCCCGCCTGCCCGGAGGCACATGGCGGGCCGCCCTACCTGGACTCAGGCACACCAGCAGAAGGTAGAAGGCTCCTCGCTCTGCCATGGCTGGGCTCTCGGCGCTGGGCTGGGGGCCGGTGGTGTGGGGCATGGACGGTGGAGGGGTGAGAGCCAAACACTGCCCGGGGTGGCAGGAAGGTGTACTGAGTGCCCGGCCCGGGAACGGCCGGAGTTATTTCTACGGGAGGGGGGGCCTGGTCCCCGCCTTGGGGAGGAGTCCCCGGAGCACTAATTAGCGGGGTGACAGGGCGACCAACCCAGGCATTACCCAGCCCGCACCCAAGCTCTTCCCTGTCCAGAGGGGCGCAGCGCGGCCAGTGGGACTAGTAATTAGGCACCTGTTAAACTCTTCTTCCTCCTGCTGGCCTGGCCGCGACTCACTGGCCCACTGAGCCTGTCTGCAAGCCCCCCGGCCCGGCCGGGACGAAGGGAAAGGAAAGAGGACGTGGGCAGCACTGACCCCCGTGCACCCGGACCCCCGCCCAGCCCAGGGACCCCACAGTCAGTCTTCAGGGCCACAGGAGGGAAGGACCAGGCGCACCCCCGACCCCAGGCATCTGTGCCGGCGGAGACCCCTGAGCTGAAGGCCGGGGTCTTCATCTCTGCCCTGAGGCGTGCCCCACACACACCCAAGGCAAGGGGAGGGGTCCCTGGGAGTGAGTGTGACAGGTGTCCCTCACCTCGCACCCAGCCCAAGTCCAGGCCAGGCCTGAGTGAGAGCCAGGCAAGCAGTCAGGTGGCCAGACGGCGACTCTGCCAGGAGGCCAGCCATCCCTGGGGCTCCAGGGGGGCCACTTGGAGTCTTTGTCCAAACCAGGGCAGTCACCGGGGGGCTCAGCTGCACCATTGGGTGGGGGCCGGCTGGGGGTCCGTAGGCAGGGGTCAGGGCGTGCGGGAGGCTGCCCCCTCCCCGGAACTCAGCGACGAGGAAGCGGCAGAGGCGTCGTGCGTCCTGGGCCCTGCACACCCCTCAATAACAGGTGCCCTCGGGGAGCGGTGGCGGCAGCCCCTTCCGTGTTGGCGTGGGGTTTATGGGTATCCGCGCACTCCGGGGAGCAGGGATCATTACTCCACTTTATGGACGGGGAAGCAGGGCTGACCTTGGGGAACGGCCCTGGGCAAGGAGGGTCTCTGGCCGGGGTCAGCTGACGCGGGATGGGAGAGGCTGCAGGAGAGGGTGGTCCCAGGGCTACTCAGGTGGGACAGCGGCGTCTGAGGTCGGGGCAGGGGCAAGGGGACATCGCAGGAATGTGGGGACCCTGGGCCGGAGCCATGGCTCAGCAGGGTGGGCGCTGGCCTTGCAGGGACCGACCGGGTTGGACCGACGCCATGTGGTCCCCCGAGCACCATCGACTCCTGCGTGCACAGCCGGGGTGAGCGCTGAGCATTGCCAGGTGTGGCCCCCAAGACAGAAGCGGGGCCTTCTGTGGGGTCTCTGCATGGGAAGCTCGTGGGCAGTGTGAGGAGCTGGGGTTCATTGGGGGACATGATCTGGGGGGTCTGGGAAAGAGGTGGGCTGTGGGCACACACGGCCGGGGGGAACGTGGGCCGGCTGCTGTGACCCAGGCCAGTACAGAGACCCTGCTCGCAGAGTCCACCCTCTGGGGACAGCTGGCCCCAGGTTTGGGGGAGCCTTTCCAGTACACAGCCCTGCCTGAGGGGCAGAAGCTAATTCACCCCCAAATCCAGCTCTACTGCCTGCTTGGCCCCTGGCCCGGTCCTGGCACGGCCTCAGCCAGAGGAGGACGGGGCCTCCCTCGGGACTGGCCCTCCAGGGGACCTGGGGAAGGGCAGTTGGGGTGCAGGGCCAAGGAGCTCCCTTGGACTGAAGCCCCAAAGCCTGCAATGGCCTCATCGGCCTCCTGGAGACCCCCTGGGACCTCAACTCTGCCTCCCTGCCCTGGGGACCCCGGAAGGGGCCACAGCCTCCCCGCCTGGCTCCCCCCAGTTCTGCAGGGCCCGGGGGTGGGGTGCAACGTGGGTGGGTGCCTGCGGCCAACTCCTCCCAGCCCCTCTCCCCTCCCACACTCCCCACCCACTTCCTTCTCCAGATGCATAAAGGCCTGAGAATCCAGGCGGGTGCTGGGCTGCAGAGTGCCCCAGAGGACAGGGAACGGGCAGGCTCTGGGCCTCCACGGGGCCCCTCTCATGTGCCGGGGTGCGAGGGACCAGGCTGGGGTCTGGGACCCAAACCAGGCTCCCAAAGGTTTGGGATTTTCTGATTTTTCCGGGGAGACGCCTCGTAGAAAATGTCTCAGACACAGCTGCTGGCTTTTTTTTTTTCTTTTTTGGGTCACACCCAGTGATGCTCAGGGGTTCCTCCTGTTTTTTTTTTCTTTTTGGGTCACACCTAGCAATGCTCAGGGGTCACTCCTGGCTCTGCACTCAGGAATCACTCCTGGCGGTGCTCAGGGGACCATGCTGGGAATTGAACCCGGGTCGGCCGCGTGCAAGGCAAATGCCCTACCCGCTGTGCTGTCACTCCGGCCCCCACAGCTGCTGGCTTTAGAAACTGAACATCCAAGCCAGGCTTGAGTGACGGGAGCAGATCTGGAGGGTGGGAGGGAGACAAGGACGAGGGTAGCTCCGCCCCAGAGACAGGCACAGCTGCACCCACTTCCCCACAAGCCTCTCCTGCAGCTCTCACGGACCTGGGGCAGACCAGCGCACGCACACACTCACACACAGCTTCGTGCAGACACACGCACACACACACCCCTTGCACACTGCTTGCACGTGCACAGACACCCCCCACCCCCGCCACGGGAGTACACAGGTGACGGATACCCATGCCCGCTCACCTGCATATGTGCATGACGGGGTCCAGCCAGGAGGAGCAGAGCCAGGAAGTGGGGGGCCATCCTGCAGGGTCAGGGAGCTCCACGGGCCCTCCTGGGTGTGTACATGTGTGTATGGACACGAGCATGGTGTGTGCACCCATGCATGCTCACGTGTGCACACGCCTGGCATGTGTGGGTGTGCTCACATGCATGCATGTGTGTGAATTATGTACATGTGTGGGCACGCATGTGGCATGTGTGTGCATTTACCTGCATGCATGTGGTAGAGACCATGTACTTTTGTTTTTTTTGCTTTTTGGGTCACACCCGGCGATGCACAGGGGTTCCTCCTGGCTCTGCACTCAGGAGTTATTCCTGGCAGTGCTCAGGGGACCCTATGGGATGCTGGGAATCGAACCCGGGTCAGCTGCGTGCAAGGCAAATGCCTATCCGCTGTGGTATTGCTCCAGCCCCTCCCAGTCTTCAAGACGAGGGCAGAGGCAGAACTCAACGGTGTCTGCACCGAGACGGCAGAGACGGGCTGGGGACTCCCCTTGGCTCTCGGATTTTTCTTTTTTTTTGGGGGGGGGTGTCACACCCGGCGATGCTCAGGGCTGACTCCTGGCTCTGCACTCAGAAATCACTCCTGGTGGTGCTCGGGGGACCCTAGGGGATGCCGGGGATCGAACCCGGGTCGGCCGCGTGCAAGGCCAACGCCCTCCCCGCTGTGCCATCGCTCCAGCCCCTGGAGACCGTGTCCATTAATCCCCAGGACTCTGACCCTGCCTTAGCAGAAGTCGACTCTCCCTTGGGTGCTGCTGGGCGCAGTGGCCAGGCAGGAGCTGCGGGTCTGGGGCTGCTGGGCTTCGTTGCCTCCACTAAGCCCGGCCCCGCCCGCCCCACCCGCCCGGCCCAGCTGTTTGTTTCCAGTTGCTGGGAAGCAGCCGGGAAGTGGTGACAGGTGGGTGGGACTGGAGATGGGACAAAAGGATGAGCAGAGGTGGAGGGATTCCCGATTTCCCTGCCTCCTCCCTCCACCTCCTCTCCCGCTGCCAAGCGGCACCCCTGAGGCCCCACGGGAGCAGAGGGCGCGCGGGCAGGTGGCCGGGAGACTCGGCGCCAGGCTCCGGCCATGAGCAGCCCTTCTGGGCGGCCGGGGCTGGACTTCCCAGAGTGTCTGGGTGCACCTGGGCTGTCCCTCGCTTGGGTCCTTCCAAAGAGGAGTCACCGCTTGGTTCTTAACAAAGGGGCGTTGGCGGTGGCGCGGCCTGGCAGGGAACCCTGCGTCCCACCCCGCAGCAGCTGGGGACGTCCCTCCCAGGGCCACTTCCCCTCCCGCACCCTGCCCACTCCAGCTCAGTGCCAGCCCATCCGCTGCCAGGGAGGGCAACCCCTGGCACTGCAGAGGGGACAGTCCCCCCCCGGGCTTGGCTTGTGCCCAGACTTCTCGTCGGGACTCCAGCGTCCCCTGTCACCTGAGCCACCAGAGTCCTGTCTGCTGTCTTTGAACTGGCCCCTTTCATCGGGAGCCGATCAAAGTGCTTTTACTGACAGCAATTAACGCCCGCTCTGACCGAGTCTTCTGGGGTGCTGGAGGACACCCCTCAGCCCACTGAGTCAGGCTGCATGGGGGGCCCTGAGTCATGCCATCTGCGGCAGGTGCGAAGGTCCTGGGACCTCCAGGCCAGGCGGGAAAGGGTGCTGCTGAGGACCCCGTCAGTCCTGGGCACGCTGCACCTGCCACCACCCTCTCTTCTACCCTTCATGCTACCCAGAACCCCCACCTGAAGTTTGGGGACTCCCCAGGGAAGGCCCCATGCCCCTCCGGCCCCCAGCTGACCAGACCAGGCCCCCAATCCTGCAAGTCGCGTCTGTCCAGGCCTGGCCCTGCATCCCAAGGTCCCTGAGGAGACGGGCACTGCAGCCCACGTCTCACGGGCTCCGCACGCTGCCCCACTGCCCGGCAGACTTGGGAGACTCAGCCACGTGGGAGGCCCCATCCCCTGGCCAGGGCTGTTGGCAGAAGGGCCCCGCTGGCTGACCCCGCCTCTGCCCAGGCTGGAGGGTGGCCAGCAGGAAGCTGGGAGCTCGGAGCGGGGAAGCGGCTTGCCCACTCTCTCTGCTGGCAAGGCGACTCTTGCCCGGGGCCCTTGTAACCTGGCGAGTCAACAGCGCTGACGCGAGGGAGGAAGCTGGCATTCTCGGGGGTGGGGGCGGGCGGGAAGCCCCCTCCCCAGCAGGCCCCCGAGGGGTCCTCCCTGCTCGAAGGCAATGTGGGCTCAACGGGGTGGGGGGGAGGACGGCCAGCCCTGCCCGAGGGGTGTCTGGGCTTCTGCAAAGTTCTGGGGGCTGTGGTAAGGTGAACCCCACACCGGGAGGCAACTCTGGGGCTCTGGGGGGCGGTGGGGGGTGGGGAGGAGCTGGACTGGGGTCTGGGAGGGGAGGCGGGATGAGGACGCAGCCCTGCCTGCAGTTGAAAGGCGCTCAGTTCAAACAGCTCCCGGGTGGGCTGAGTCAGAGGCGTGACCCCCCCCCCGGCCCCCACGGTGCCTCTGAAGTCAGCAGGACAGACTCGGGCGCGCGGGGCGGGGGTTATGGAGGGCCAGGAGCTGCCTCCAGCGCCGGCCCCTGGCCCCCCACACACCACAGCAAGGACACAGCCGCGGGGCCAGAGCCATGGCACAGTGGGGAGGGTGCTGGCCTTGCACGCAGCTGACCCGGGTTCGAGTCCCAGCATCCCATAGGGTCCCCCGAGCACCGCCAGGAGTGATTCCCGAGTGCAGAGCCAGGACTCAGCCCTGTCCATCACCGAGTGTGACCCCCCCCAAAAAACAAGCAAAAAAAGGACACAGCCGCTCTGAGGGGGAACCAGGGTTTAATGTCGCACGGGGGGCCGCCGGGCACGCTCAGGACGGGGCGGCCAGGATGTTGGCCTTGCGCTCGGCCTCCACGCAGTACTTCTCCGGGAGGCCCGTGGCCCTGGGGGGACACGGGGCAGGTCAGGGCCCATGCTGGGGGCTCTCCCCTCCCGCTGAGCCCCCCCACCCCGGGCGCCCTGAGCCCGCACCTCAGCTCCTGCAGCTTCTGCCGCTTGATGTCGGCGATGTGCTGGCTTCGGCGCTGGGCCTCCTCCTGCAGCCGCCGGCCCTCCTCGAAGGTGTCCACCCGGGCCTGCACCTGCCGGCGCTGCTGCTCCCGCACCTGGCTGCGGATCTCGTCGGCGTGCTGGCGGCGCGTGGCGGCCCGCCTTTCCTCCTCCTGACGCTCCTGCTCCATCTGCTCCCGCTGCATCCTGCCGGGGCCGGGGAGGGACCACCGGTCAGCGCCGGCCGGCCAGGCCCCGGGGCGGGCAGCACGGCCGGGCTCGGCCGAGCAGGGCCCCCACGTGCCGGCCCCGACACCCCCGACCCGCCCGGGCCCGGCCCACCTGAGGATCCTCTGGAACTCGGCCCGGTCCCGGTGCACCTGCACGGCCCGCGCGCGCTCCTTGGACGCCATCTGGTCCAGCCGGGTCTGGCGCAGCTGGGCCTCCGCCTCCAGCCTCCTCTGCGCCTTCTCCTTCTCCCGCCGCCGCCACTCGCGATCCGCCACCTCCTGGTTGCGCTTGGCCCGCAGGGCGTCCTGGGGAGCGGGGACGGGAGCGACGTGAGGGGCCCGTCCCAGCCGCGTCCGTCCCCGGGGCCGCCCGGACCGCGGGCAAAGGGCGCACCTGCTCCGCCCGGTAGTCCTGGGCCTTCTCCTGCAGGGCTCGCAGGCGCGCGATCTCCTTCTCCTTCTCCCTGCGGATCCGCTGCTGTTCCTTCTCCAGCTCCGCTTCCCGGGCCTGCGGGGAGGGCCACGGCCGCCGGGCTGGGACCTCGGACCCCCAGCCTGGCCCGCCAGGACCCTGCAGCCCCTCCAGCCCAGCCTGGTCCTCCAGGACCCCTGCAACCCTCACCAGGACCCCCCCACCTACCAGCCCAGACCACCAGGACCCATGCAGCCCCCTGCCCACCAGCCCGGCCCTCCAGGACCCCCGCAGCCCCCCACCCCAGCCTGCCAGGACCCCGCAGCCCCTCCAGCCCAGCCCGGTCCTCCAGGACCCCTGCAACCCCCACCAGGACCCCCCACCTACCAGCCCAGACCACCAGGACCCATGCAGCCCCCTGCCCACCAGCCGGCCCGCCAGGACCCCCCACCCACCAGCCCGGCCCTCCAGGACCCCCGTGGCCCCCCCAGGCCTGCCAGGACCCCGCAGCCCCTCCAGCCCAGCCCAGTCCTCCAGGACCCCTGCAACCCCCACCAGGACCCCCCACCCACCAGCCCAGCCCACCAAGACCTATGCAGCCCCCTGCCCACCAGCCCGGCCCTACAGGACCCCCGCAGCCCCCCACCCCAGTCTGCCAGGACCCCACAGCTCCTCCAGCCCAGCCCGGTCCTCCAGGACCCCCACAGTCCCCATGTCAGCCCAGCCCGCCAGGACCCCCGCAGCCCCCCAGCCCGGCTCACCGGGACCCCCGCAGCCCCCGCTTGCCCGCCAGCCAGCCCCGCACCAGCTTCTTCTGCGTGAACTCCATGACCATCTCGTCGGCCAGCTTCTCCTGCTCCCGCAGCTGCGCCTTCTGCCGCTGTGTCTCCTCGTTGACGTGCCGGATCTCGGCCTGCAGCTGCAGCTTCTGCTGCCGCCTGAGCTCCAGGTCCTGCGGGCGGGGATGTGCGTGTGTGTCTTGCACGTGTGTGTCTGTTGTGTGTCTGTGTGTCTGTACATGTGTGTGTCTGTGTGTGCACCTGTGTCTGTGTGTGTGTCTCTCTGAGCATGTGTGCATGTGCCTGGGTCTGTCTCTGTGTGTGTATGCGCGTGTCTCTGTGTGTATCTCTGTGCACGTGTGTGTATCTGTGTGTATCTGTGTGTATCCATGTGTCTGTGCGTGTGTCTGTGTGGGATAATGAATCTGTGTGTCTGGGTGTGAGCTTGTGCATGTGTCTGTGCGTCTGTCTGTGCATCTGTGTATATGTGCATCTGTACATGTGAGTCTATGTGTGTGTCTATGCGTGTGTCTGTGTCTGTGCATGTCTGTGTGTGCGCCTGTGTGTCTGTGCATGTGTCTGTGTGTCTCTGCGCTTGTGTGCGTGTGTGCATGTTCCTGTGCCGGTCTCTGTGTGTGTGCGTGTGTGTATATGTGTCTGTGTGTGTGCACACTCTGTGCATGTGTGTGTGTCTGAATCTGTGTCTGTGCGTGTGTCTGTGTCTATGTGTCTCTGCGTGTGTGTGCATGTGCCTGTGTATCTGTGTCGTGTGTGTCTGTGCATGTCTATGTGTCTGCATCTGTGTCCATGTCCTTTTGCACATCTACACATGTGTCTGTGTGCTTGTGCGTGTATGCATGTATGTCTGTGTTGACAACTGTCAATTGTCTGTGTATGTCTGTGTGCGCCTCTGTGTCTGTGTGTGTGTGCCTGTGCCTGTATGTTTCTATGTGCACCTGTGTCTTTTTGTGTGTGCCTATGTCCGTATGTCTCTATGTTTGTGTGCGTGTGCATGTGTCTGTCTGTGTGTCCCTGTGTGTGTATGTGCATGTCTATCTATGTGTCCCTGCACGTGTGTGTGTGTCTGTGTCTGTGTGTCCCTGTGTGCATGTGCCTGTGTTTGTATGTCACTGTGTGTGCGTGTGTGTGTCTGTGTGTCCCTGCACGTGTATGCGTGTGCCTGTATATCCATGTGCCTGTGTGTCTGAGCGTGTGTGTGGCTCTGTCGGGGGCGTGTCACCCCGTGTCACCTTGAGGTCCTCGGCCAGCAGCTTGTCCATGTGGGCCAGCAGCTGCTCCTTCTCCTGCTCCTGCCGCTCGCCCAGCAGTGACCGCTCCTCCTGCCGCTGCTCAATCTGCTCCAGGATGTGCCGCTGGCCCCTGGGCAGGGGACCAGCCTTAGTGACCGCCGCAGGGTCAGGGCCTGGCCCCGTCTCACCCTCGCCCACGTCACACACATGCTGCTCCCATCTTGGGGGGGGGGCCGGTCCGGTCCCCTCCCTGCTGCCTTGGGCATGGCTCTGCGGGCCCCACTCTCTGCTGCCTGGGGCTAAGGCCCAGCACAGGGACCCCAGGACACAGAGACCCCCAGGACACAGGGACCCCAGGACACAGGGATCCTGGGACACAGGGACCCCGGGACACAAGGACCCCAGGATGCAGAGACCCCCAGGACACAGGGACCCCAAGACACAGGGACCCCCAGGACACAGGGACCCCAGGACACAGGGACCCCCAAGACACAGGGACCCCAGGACACAGGGACCCTGGGAAACAAGGACCCCAGGACATGGGAACCCCAGGACATAGAGACCCTCGGGACACAGAGACGCCCAGGACACAGAGACCCCCAGGACACAGGGACCCCAGGACACAGGGATCCTGGGACACAGGGACCCCGGGACACAAGGACCCCAGGATGCAGAGACCCCCAGGACACAGGGACCCCAAGACACAGGGACCCCGGGACACAGGGATCCTGGGACACAGGGACCCCGGAACACGAGGACCCCAGGGCACGGGAACCCTAGGACATGGGGACACCAGGACACAGAGACCCCCAGGACACAGAGACCCCCAGGACACAGGGACCCCGGGACACAGGGACCCCAGGACCCTGGGGAAGTTGGGGCAGACTGCAAGGCTGAGACCGGCTGAGTCCAGCTTCCGGCCACACAGTGCCTGGGCACCGGCAGGGCGACCCCCGGAAGCAATCCCTGTGCGGGGGACTCCGGGGGCCCGCAGGGCGGCGGGGGTCGGGCGGTACCGGAGCCTCTCCTCTTGGCGCCGCCGCTCAAGGTCCTCCTGGCGCTGCGCCGACTTCTGGCGCTCGGCCTCCATCATCTGGTCCAGCCTCCGCTCCTCGGCCTCCAGCTCCCTCTGGATCTGCTGCTTCTCCAGGATCTGGGCGTCGCGGATGGCGTGGCACTTGGCGTTGAGGATGATCTGGGGGCACAGGCTCGCTGGGGGCGGGGGGTCTCAGGAGCGTGCTGGGACCCCTCTCCCTCTACCCCGCACCGACCTGTGCTCGCCTCCCCTGACCCCCACTTCCGGGGAGACCCTGGCCCACAGGCCCCGGGGGACCCCGCTCTGAGGCGCCCCAAGAGGGCGGGTGCCGTGGGGTGGGCGCAGCCCGGCTGGGCAGAGGTGGGGGGTGGCACTGGTCGGGTGCCTCCAGCGGGCACTGCCTAAGAGCTGGGGCCACCGTCTGATCACAGCCCGTCGGCCACTGCCAGGACCCCCCCTATTACTCCCCCCATGGGTCAGGGAAGCACCAGAGAGGTCAGGACCTCGCCAAAGTCACCCCGCCTTGCTGGCCCGCACTGTCCCACCAGGCCAGCCCTGCCTGTCACCTCCAGCCCATCCCCCCTCCTGTCCAGCCTGTCCCCCGGCCCCCTGTCCCCCCCCACCCCACCCTGCCCTGCCCCTTCTCGGAGGAGGCGGCACCTGGTTCATCTGCCTGAGCTCCTCCTCCTGCTCCAGGCGCTGCTGCCCGGCCCGGCGGAGGAGGCCCTGGGCCCGCTCCTGGGCCTCCTCCTCCAGCGTGCTCAGGGCCTTGCTGCTCCTCCACACCATCTCCCGCTGCTTCATGATCTTCTTCCGCGTGGTCGCTGCGTCCTGGGCCGGGCGGGAGAGCTCAGCCTCGCCCCTGCCTCCCCGAGCAGCCGTCAGCCGACCCGAGCAGCCCTGCTGCCGCCGGGCTGGGGTAGCCCCACTGCAGGCCGGGCAGGAGACCCCTCTCTGGGCCGGGCGGGTGACCCTGTTAGGGGCCGGGAGGTGACCCCTCTGTGGGCCGGGCAGGTGACCCCTCTCTGGACTGGGCAGGTGACCCTGTTAGGGACCAGGCAAGAGGCCCCTCTCTGGGCCAGGCAGGAGACCCCTCTGTGGGCCAGGCGGGTGACCCTGTTAGGGGCCGGGAGGTGACCCCTCTGTGGGCCGGGCAGGTGACCCCTCTCTGGACTGGGCAGGTGACCCTGTTAGGGACCAGGCAAGAGGCCCCTCTCTGGGCCAGGCAGGAGACCCCTCTGTGGGCCGGGCGGGTGACCCTGTTAGGGGCCGGGAGGTGACCCCTCTGTGGGCCGGGCAGGTGACCCCTCTCTGGACTGGGCAGGTGACCCTGTTAGGGACCAGGCAAGAGGCCCCTCTCTGGGCCAGGCAGGAGACCCCTCTGTGGGCCGGGCGGGTGACCCTGTTAGGGGCCGGGAGGTGACCCCTCTGTGGGCCGGGCAGGTGACCCCTCTCTGGACTGGGCAGGTGACCCTGTTAGGGACCAGGCAAGAGGCCCCTCTCTGGGCCAGGCAGGAGACCCCTCTGTGGGCCGGGAGGTGACCCTATTAGGGGCCGGGCAGGTGACCCCTCTGCGGGCCAGGCAGGAGACCCCTCTCTGAGCCGGAAGGTGACCCCCCTCTCTGGGCCAGGCAAGGAGACCCCTCTGTAGGCCGGGAGGTGACCCTATTAGGGGCGGGGCAGGTGACCCCTCTCTGGGCTGGGCAGGTGACCCTGTTAGGGACCAGGCAAGAAGCCCCTCTCTGGGCCAGGCAGGAGACCCCTCTGTGGGCCGGGAGGTGACCCTATTAGGGGCGGGGCAGGTGACCCCTCTCTGGGCTGGGCAGGTGACCCTGTTAGGGACCAGGCAAGAAGCCCCTCTCTGGGCCAGGCAGGAGACCCCTCTGTGGGCCGGGAGGTGACCCTATTAGGGGCCGGGCAGGTGACCCCTCTCTGGGCCGGGCAGGTGACCCTATTAGGCACCGGGCAGGAGACCCCTCTCTGGGCTGGGCAGGTGACCCTGTTAGGGACCAGGCAAGAAGCCCCTCTCTGGGCCAGGCAGGAGACCCCTCTTTGGGCTGGGAGGTGACCCCCTCTGTGGGCCGGGCAGGAGACCCCTCTATGGGCTGGGAGATGACCCCTCTGTGGGCCAGGAGGTGACCCTATTAGGGGCCGGGCAGGTGACCCCTCTCTGGCCCGGGTGGGTGACCCTATTAGGGGCTGGGAGATGACCCCTCTGTGGGCCAGGCAGGAGACCCCTCTGTGGGCCGGGCGGGTGACCCTCTGTGGCCAGTGGCTACCAGCATCTGGTCCTTCTCCTTCTGCAGCGCCTGCTCCTGGGCTTCACGCTCCTCCCTGGTGTGCACGGTGGACGCCCCCTTGATGCGCTCGAACTCCTCAGGGCTGATGATCAGGGACTTGCCAGAGGGGTCCTTGGTGGGGACGCTGGCCAGGGACAGGAGCATGCTGAGAGTGACCCCGGGCTGGACAGGGGGACAGGGGCATGCTGAGAGTGATCCCTGCTGGACAGGGGACAGGGGCGTGTTGGAGTGACCTGAGCTGGACAGGGGGACAGGGTCGTGCTAAGAATGACCTCAGACTGGTCAGGGGCACGCTGAGGGTCACCCCAGGCTGGACAGGGGACAGGGGCATGTTGGAGTGACCCCGTGCTGGACAGGGGGACAGGAGCGTGCTGGGAGTGACCCCACAAGCTGACCGGGGCACAGAGGCGTGCTGGGAGTGGCCCCCGGCCTGCCCCCAACCTCAGCACTGCGCCACACAGCTGGGCTGAGGCTCGGGGCTCCAGACCCCTGAGACAAGGGAGCACTTCAGGGACTTGTCCTCAATTTCCACTTTCCCTTCGGTGCCTCTGTGGGGGTCCTTCTTCCACTCAGGACGCCCCTGCCAGGAACGAGACAGAGACACCTCCCACCCCTGTTCTGTGGCCAGGCTGGGACCCTGCCCCACCACTCGTCCTAGGCCAACTGGGCTTGTGGGTGCCGGTGGGGCAGAGCAGGGGGCCACGCGCCCGCATGACACACGAGGACAGACGCCTGCCAGGCCCAGGGCAGGGAGGCTGTGAGAACCCGGGCGCACAGCGGCAACCCCCCCCCAACACCCCGACGGAAGCTTTGAACCTAAATATTAATTAACATCTCCACAACAGCGGCCGTCCCCTCCGAGACAGGTCCAAGGCCCCTTTCCAGCTGCCCGGCCCAACGCAGCCCACAAACCTGCGGCTAATTATGATGATTACAGCCGAGTCCGGCTTTCTTGGGGCAGGAGGAAAGCAGCTTGGGGTGGGGCCCGTAACTGCTGGGGGGGGGGGGGGGGGGGACGCAGCTGAGGCAGGAAGTGAAACCGGCTCGTAAAACGGGAGTGGGGAGGAAGGGGGGTGCTGGGCCCAGGTAGGGGGTCCCGGAGCCCACAGCCACCACTCTGGCAGCACCTGGGCAGCACCTGGCCCTCCCGCCAGGTGACCCAGGCCAGTGGCCACCCAGGGCATCTCTCCAGAGGACTCCGACCCAGGCACGGGACCACCAGCATGAGCTCGGGGCCCGCCCACACTCACATGAGTTCCCGCACGAGGTCGCGCGTGATGAGCCGGATGGTCTCCGGCTTGTGGCCCAGCGCGGTGAGGGGGTCCCGGATGGTCCTCCTGTCCCTCAGCATCACCATGGGGCTGTCACTCTGGGCCAGGGGCTGTGGGGAGCAGGACAGCTGTCCCTCACGGCCAGCACAGGGCAGCGGGGCCATGCCCACGCCCCCCTGAGAACGTTCCCTGCAGGGGGACCCGGAGACAGGGACTCCTGGGCCCTGTGTGTGACCGGCAGGACCCAGATGTGTCCACTTGGGTGGACGAAGGCCTCCTCCCCAAAGCACCCACACCTGGTCCCAGCCCAGCGCCAAGCTGCGGGGGGCAGAGCCTGACCGCGACCAGTGTTTGGAGGGATTTTCTGACCGGGAGAGAGAGGGGAGGAGAGGAGGCCGCTCCTCTGGGCTCCCAGGGCAGGGACGGCCACCGCGGGAGTCCAGCTCTGCCACTGTGGGCGCAGCTCGTGCGCGCCCCCTGCTGCCCGCGAGGCTCACGTGCACCCCCGCGCCGGCCCCTCGCCCAGTGGTGCTAGAGACCCCGACCCGCCCCACCCACCGCCAGGGCCCCCCGGGAGGGGACTGAGACCCCCACGGGCAGCTCCCTGGACGGACGCCGGGGCGGGCAGGGCGGGGGTCACCTTGGCGCCCCCAAAGAGGCTCTCGTCCACCTCGGAGCTCTGGGCCTTGGTGCGGTAGCGAGTCCTGGTCTTGGACCTGCTGGACGCCGTCGAGGCCGAGCTGAGGACGCCGGGCGGGCTCTGCGGCTGGGGAGGAAGGGCCGGCACTGCTGTCGCCCCTGGACGGGCCGGGAGGCAGGAGGGCCCCGCACGGCACCCCTGTGCAGCACCACCTGTGCTCAGTACCACCTTGCACAGTACCTCCTGCACAGCACCCCCGTGCACAGTGCCTCCTGCACAGTACCTCCTGCACAGCACCCCCTGTGCTCAGTACCACCTTGCAAAGTGCCACCTTGCAAAGTGCCTCCCACACAGCACCACCTATGATCAGTGCCTCCTGCACAGCACCACCCATGCACAGTACTACCTTCACAGCACTACCTGTGCACAGTACCACCTGTGCACAGTACCACCTCGCACAGTGCATCCCGCACAGCATCACCTGTGCACAGTACCACAAATACAGCACCACTTGTGCTCAGTACTACCTTGCACAGTACCTCCTGCACAGCACCGCCTGTGCACAGTACCACCTATGCACAGTACCACCTTGCAAAGTGCCTCCCACACAGTACCACCTATGATCAGTGCCTCCTGCACAGTACCACCCGTGCACAGTACTACCTTCACAGCACTACCTGTGCACAGTACCACCTTGCACAGTGCCTCCCACACAGCACCACCTACACACAGTATCACCTTCACAGTGCCTCACACACAATACCAACTGTGCACAGTGCCTCCTGCATAATGCTACTTGCACAGTACCACCTGTGCACAGTACCACCTCGCACAGTGCCTCCCGCACAGCACCACCTGTGCACAGTATCACCTTTCACAGTACTACCCATACAGAATCACCTATGCACAGTACCATCCACACAATACCACCTGTGCACAGTGCCTCCCGCACAGTACCACCTATGCACAGTACCACTTGTGCACAGTACTACCTGTGCACAGTACCACCCACACAGTACCACCTGTGCACAGTGTCACAGCACTGCACCACCCCCACCCCTCTCTGCACAGCACCACCTCCCATCGGAGCTGCCCTTCCCAACAGCCCTCGCCCCTGCTCGACCCGGCACTGGATCCCCAGAAGCGAGTTCGGAGCTGGGCCCAGCCGGAGGTCTGCAGCCCGCGCCGGGCTCTGCTGGGGACCCCGCCGGGCTCAGGACCACCGCGCCCCGCACTCCGTCTCCTTCGGGGGTCTCCCCCACGCTCGGGCGCACCTGACGTCTGCGCGGGCCCCACCAGGAAGGACACCCCACCCCCTGCGCCCCTCACCATCTCGGACGCAGCAGCCTCGGGCTCAAGACCCGCTCGATCCTCACTCTGCTCCCACTGCCGCCGCCTTGCGGCCTGTTGTCGCGTTACCCCGGCAACGGGGCCGCGCCTGGACCGCGGGCCACGCCGCCCGCGCCGGCCCCGCCCCCTGCTCTGACGCCGCCTCCAATCCGGACACGGCCCGGATCTGGCCCCGCCCCATCTGGCTCCGCCCCTATCTGGCCCCGCCCCTATCCGGCTCGGCTCCCAATCTGGCCCCGTCCTGATATGGCCCCGCCCCATATGACTCCGCCCCTATCTGGCCCCGCCCTTATCCGGCTCGGCTTCCAATCTGGCCCCGCCCTGATCTGGCCCCGCCCCCTACCAGGCCTTCTATTAGGCTCCGCCCTGAGCACCCCCCCTCTTCACGTTGCTTTTCCGGGTTCTTTTGTTGCCTTTTTTTTTTTTTTTTAGTGAAACACCACCAGGTACAGTTGTAGAGTTACAAGTTTCTGTGCTTGGGTTTCAGTTATACAATGATTGAGTACCCATTCTCCACCCCCACCAATCCCAGTATCCCTCCCACCCCCCCCAACCCCCATCCCACCCTGCCTCTGTGGCAGGGCACTCCCTTTTGTTCTCTCTCTCCTTTTGGGTGCTGTGGTTTGCAGAAGAGGCACTGGGTGGCAATCATGTTCGGTCTATAGCCTACTTTCAGCATGCATCTCCCATCCTGGGCGGATCTTCCCAGCACCCTTTATTTGGTGCTCCCTTCTGTATCTGAGCTGCCTTTAACCCTAGAGTATGTGGCTGGCCCCGAAGCCATGGAAGCCTCGAACCTCCTGGTATTTATAACAGCTATTCTTGGGTGTTAGTCTCTTATTTTGTTACTTTTTTTTTTTTGCTTTTTGGGTCACACCCGGCAATGCTCAGGGGTTCCTCCTGGCTCTACACTCAGGAATTACCCCTGATGGTGCTCAGGGGACCATCTGGGATGCTGGGAATCGAACCTGGGTCGGCCGCGTGCAAGGCAAACGCCCTACCCGCTGTGCTATCTCACCAGCCCCTTATTTTGTTACCCAGATGAATGCAACCACACCCACACTCCTGGCTCTGCATCCAGAAATTACTCCTAGAGGTGCTCAGGGGGCCACTAGGATGCCAGGGATGGAACCTGAGTCAGCCTTGAGTTTCAGCTTCGCCCCACACCCGTGGGTGTGTGTGTTGGGGTCATCGCAACAACAGGGCCAGAAAAGCGGGGATGAATTAAAAATGGGCAGAGGAACCAAAAGGACGTTTGTGCAAAGAGGACGTACAATCACGTGGCCAACAGGCCGGTGCAGACGTGTCTGGTTCCCTTATTCACCAGGAAATGCACCCAAACCTACAGGTAGCACAGGGCTACCTGGCACCGGCCCAGCAGTGATGGATCTTATCACAGGGAGAGATAAAACGCGAGAGAGTGACTTCAGGCGTGGAGGGAGGACATGCAAATCAGTGCTGCCTCTATGAAAAGCAGAATGAAAGTTCCTCAAGACGTAAGACGGCTGGACAACCCAGCACCCCTCCGATGAAATGCAAACTCAGAGACCTGCACTTGTGTACTCGTAAGCACAACTAAAACACCAATATCACATTGTCGCACATCTCGGTAAAACTAGGAAAGGGGCAGAAGCAGGACAAGGGCTAGGCCTTGTAAGCCACTGAGTACTGTAGGATACTTGGCAATGTGTAGGGTTCCCTGAGCACCACCAGGAGTGACCCCAAGAGCATCCTTAAACTTAAGAAAGGGAAGAGTTAATTGGGAACGATAGTATAGCAGGGAGGGCGTTTGCCTTGCACGCGGCCGACCTGGGTTCAATTCCCAGCATCCCATATGGTCCCCCAAGCACCGCCAGAAGTAATTCCTGAGTGCAGAGCCAGGAGGAACCCCTGAGCAACAGCGGTTGTGAACCAAAAAGAAAAGAAAAAAAAAGGGAAGAGTTGGAAGCTTGCCACAAGAGTATCTGGGGGCAAAGGGCAATTCAGATAGAGAAGGGACCAGTATGACCATAGTTGGAAATGATCGTTTTGGACGGGGGGGGGGGGAGGGAGAGAGAGAGAGAGAGCGAGAGAGCACCTGCCACAGAGACAGGCAGGGGTGGGGGGATGGGAGGGGAACTGGGAACATTAGTGAGAAATGCACATTGGTGAAGGGATGCGTGTTAGAACATGATATGACTGAAACCCAATCATGAACAACTTTGTAACTGTATCTCACTGTGATTCAATTAAAAAAATAAAATAAGTAATAGCACTGCTCTGTAGCACTGTCCTTCTGTGTTCATCAATTTGCTCGAGCGGGCACTAGTAACGTCTCCATTCTGAACTTTGTGTCATATCAAATACGCCATGGGGAGCTTGCCAGGCTCTGCGGTGCGGGTGGGATACTCACCGTAGCTTGCTGGGCTCTCCGAGAGGGACACCAAATTTTTTTAATAAAAATCAATAAAGTAAAAACAAAATTGTTGTTTTGGCTTTTTGGGTCACACCCAGCGATTCTCAGGGGTTATTCCTGGCTCTGCGCTCAGGAATTACTCCTGCATTGCTCAGGAGACCCTATGGGATTGCCAAGGATCGAACCCAGGTCAGCCTCATGCAAGGCAAGCACCCTCCCCACTGTGCTATCATTCCAGCCCTCTCAAAAATTTTTTTTCAAATTTTTATTATTTTTTTAACATTTTTATTTTTATTATTTTTTTTCTTTTTTTTTCTTTTTGCTTTTTGGGTCACACCCAGCAATGCACAGGGGTTACTCCAGGTTCATGCACTCAGAAATCTGTCCTGGCAGCGTTCGGGGGACCATATGGGATGCTGGGAATCGAACCCGGGTCGGGCCGCATGCAAGGCAAACGCCCTACCCTCTGTGCTATCGCTCCAGCCCCTAAAAATATTTTTTTTTAAAGTGAAGAATATGAAAGTCTGGTTGCCGAAATCTGACACCTCGTACGAGAAATTCAGATCTGCCCTATTTCAACAACCTGGAATCTGCCAGGACTCTATCAAGTGTAAACTGAAATGAAAGATCATTGTCATGTGCACACAGTCCCCACCCTGGGCTGACCACACCACGGGTCCTCCCTCCCCCGCCCCCATCAGCGACTCTCCACAGAGAAGCCTCGCCTAGCTTGCATCCCTTCAGGACGTTTCCAGGCTGAGGGCATGGGCCAGACTTTGCAAGTGCACGATCTGTTAGGACAAGTCACCGTCAGTAAGTGTTGAGGTCCTTCTGGCTTCATCCCGTGCTTACTGGAGCTCCAAGGGGGGTGCACTGTGCACCCCAGGCCAGGGCCCTGCTTTCAAGGGCAGGCTGGGAACTGGTCCACGGTGCAGCCGTGCCCACAGCCCGGCCTGCCCTCACCACCTCGCCTCTGTACCCATGGAGGGGGGTTCACCTCTGTGGAAAGCAGAAAACGCCTTCACCCACCTCTGCCAGCCATGTCCTTCCTTTGCCCCATTTTCCTTTTTTATTTTTTCCTTTTTGGGTCACGTCCAGCATGGCACAGGGGTTATTCCTGGCTCGTGCACTCAGGAATCACTCCTGACAGTGCTCAGGGTAGCATATGGGATGCCAGGGATCGAACCCTAGTTGGTGTTTCTTCTCCCGTTCACTCCTTTGTTTACTTATTTATTTATTTATTTATTTTTGCTTTTTGGGTCACGCCTGGCGATGCTCAAAGCTTACTCTTGGCTCTGCACTCAGGAATCACTCCTGGCAGTGCTCAGGGGACCCTATGGGATGCTGGGAATCGAACCCGGGTCGGCCACATGCAAGGCAAACGCCCTCCCCACTGTGCTATCGCTCCAGCCCTGCCCTGTTTCCCTTAAGCCTGTTCTCTCTAGGGTCCTCTCCCTCCACGTGGGACACTGTGGGAAGAAGGTTCCAGAAGTTCTCTAGCCAGAGGAGAAGGGCAAGTCTGCCCCATGCTCACCTCCCCTCCTCCAGCCTAGCGGGGCCCCGCTCCTTCTTCCTGGAGCCCAGACTTCCTGGGTGCCCCCACACTGGCCCCAGGAGGGGTGTCAGCCGCTGTAATGACTAAGCACATGGGTGGGGTGGGGCCGCGGCCCAGCCCGGAGAGCCGGAGGAGTGAAAATAAAGTCATTTGGGAGTTGCACTAACTCAAGTCACTTTAGCCCAGAAACTGGGCAGCCAGCCCCCAGCCACACACAGACACACACACAAACACACACACAGACACACAGACACACGCACACATGCACACAGACACACACACATGCACACAGACACACACACATGCACACAGACACACACACACACACACACATGCCTGTGTCTGTCCCCAGAGACTGGTGTCCCCCAGGACTGGCTGCAAACAGACCAGAAAGACTGGATCTGTGTGTGTGGGTTTCCCCTCGTCCTGAGGGGACAGGCCTGTCCCTGCCTGGGGGGCACCCTGACCCCATCCCTGCCCTGGGGGAGCACCCTGACCTCTCTAACTCAGCAGGACCCAGAGCAGGACTACACTTCCCTCCTCCTTGTCACTCCAAGGAACACTGGGGGGGGGGCGGGGAGGGGGGAGAGGGAGGGGGAGGGGAGGGGGAGGGTTAGTAGGGAGGGGGCTCTGCGGAGAGCTGGTGGGTGGGGAGAGCCACAAGGCAGAGGTGATGACCTGATTCAGGGGTCAGAGCATGGGGCCTGAGGTCACCCCAACCACAGGTCCAGCCCAGTCTCACTTCCATCTGCCTCAGAGCCTTGCGTCCAGCCTTGCGGTCACGGGCCGCCCCGGACACGCCTCCACACGCCTGGCACCGGCTTCCCCTACGTGACCTGCTGAGGCCCGGCCAGGCGGGCGGATGCTGAGATAAGGCCAAGGAGGGGGAAACCCACCCGAGAGTCAGGAAATGACAGCCCTCGGTTCCCTGGGCGACCGGCACCGCAGGCCCAAACAGAGGGGCAGCGCCCCCCCTCCGGGCCTGACCTCCGCTCTGCCTCTGCCCGGAAAGAGGCTCCCAGCCTCAGAGGACAATGCAGCCCGAGAAGGGGGCAGAGGCCACATTCCAGACCCCAGCCCAGCCCAGCCCAGCGCTGGGCTCGGGCGACCAGGGAACCTGAGCGCGGGACGGCAGGGGACGATTCCACTGGGTCTCTGAGACAAGAGCCTTTCCAGGAGGGTGCAGGGGGTGCTGGTGCGGGAAGTTCCAGACCGGGAGGTTCCAAAGCCGCAGATTCTGGGACCAGCAGGAACTGAAAAGCAGGCCGGGAGGTGGCCGCACAGAGCACTGGGTGTGACCCCTTGCACGTGCGCAATTCTCAGCACCGCAAACAAACAAGGCAGAAGCCAGGAGAGAAGTTCAGGCTTCAGCTGACCTCTGGCCAGGCCCCGGGATGGCCGCTGCTCTCCAGGGCCGGGGGCTCAGGCTGACCACTCCCCCTCCTCTCCTCTCTCTCATCTTCCTGCATGGAGGGACTCGCAGGGCTGGATGGGGGCGGATGTGTTAGAGCCCAGCCAAGCAGTTAGGGGGGCTCTTCCACTGGAGACACCCCCCCGCGGACCTCAGGGAACCCAGATGTCACAGGGCTGGGATCAACTGTCCTCGTCTTTTTTTTTTTTTTTTTTTGCTTTTTGGGTCACACCTGGCAATGCACAGGGGTTGCTCCTGGCTCTGCGCTCAGGAATCACTCCTGGCAGTGCTCAGGGGACCCTACGGGATGCTGGGGATCGAACCTGGGTCGGCCGCATGCAAGGCAAACGCCCCTCCAGGCCGCCCCTGACCAGCGGATCAATGACCAGGTCTCGTTCCTTGGCAGACGCCCCGTGTCCCAGACCAGCCCTTTGTTGTCCTCTCCCTGCCCGTCCTCCTTGGGCCTCCTGCCAAGCTCTCCAAGGACTCCAGGGCAGTGCAGCGAGGGAGGACATACTGTTCTTCACGGAGCCAGGTACAAGCAGGTGCCCGGAGCCCCACCTCCACCTGGAGAGACGCCTCCTGGCCCTGGGATGCCACCTCCCAGGTCAGCAGACTGGCACCAGCCTCCACGGCACCAGAGGGAGGCCCAAGCGGCACCCAGTCTGCTTCAGAGCCGCCCCTGGGAGCAGCCACACACACCTGTGCACACACACACCCCTGAACCCTTGTCCTATGAATAACCACGCATCTGTACACACAGACACACACACCCCCCTGAACCCTTCTCCTGTGAATAATCACACCCCTACACACACACACACATACACACACACACCTTAGCCCTGGTCTCATAACACACGTGTACACATACACGCTTGAGCCCTGATCTCGTGAGTAAATCACACACATGCAAACACACACACACACCCTGAATGTGTGTCCTGCGAATAACCAAGCACTTGTACACACACACACACACACACACACATAAACACACACACCCCTGAACCCTTGTCCTGTGAGTAACCATGCATCTGTACACACACACACACACACACACACACACACACAAATTCCTTAGCCCTGGTCTCATAACACACATGTACACACACACCAGAGCCCTGGTCTTGTAAGCACACACATGTACACACACACTCACGCATGTGTGTGTGCTTTTCCTCAGGTGTGCAATACTGTCAGTGTGCGAATCCCTTGCCAGTCCGGCTCCTTTCTGTCCCTGCACACCGTCCTCCTCGGGCTGAGGGCAGGGGTAAGGGGACCAGCTCTGCCTGCCCATCTGCCCCCAGTGGGCCATGACCCCCACCCACTTAGCCGGGAACACACCTCAGCCCTGACACCTCCAGCTGGAACAGCACCTGCTCCAAGATGAATTTCTGTTTTCACTGTTTGGGGAACTCAGCCAGCAGTGCTCAGGCCCTGCCCGGCTCGGTGCTCAGCCAGCAGTGCTCAGGCCCTCCCCAGTTCTGTGTTCAGGAGTCACCCCCAGCATGCTTCGAGAACCATGTGGTGCCAGGGACAGGCCTGGGGCGGCAGAGCCTGTTCTCCGGCCACTGAACCTTTCTGAAACAAACCCAGGAACCACCAAGCAGCTGGTCAGCTCCACCTCAGACCCAGCGACCGGCAGCCGTGCCAGGCAGGTGACCCCACCGTACCACATGGCCAGGGCAGCGATTCACACAGAAAAGACTGACCCAGCACCAACGGTACACGGGTACCTCTGTCCACAGAGTGCCGATCCTATGGGTGGACAGATGAGGCTGCCTTGTATTGGGGACATCTGCAGAGATCGCTGAAGATGGCCGGGGAGGGCCATAGCAGGGCCCAGAGGGGCAGGGAGCGCCAGTCAGGGGGGCACAGAGAACAAGGACCCAGCAGCTGAGGGAAGGGACAGGAGCGGTACCAGGCACGGGGCTGTCCCTTTGCGCACTCCAGGGACAAAGACAAACGAATGGAATGGAGACATCAGCTGGAACAAAGGACCAAAGAGAAAACACGCAGAGGAAGGGGCTGGCATGGTGGGCTGGGCGGACACGGTGCTGGCCCAGCCTGGGGGCTGCTGGCTGCTGGCTCGGGAGGTCCCTGGGCGGGTCTTGCTCCATCTCCTGCTGGCTTGGAGGAAACAGCTCAGGTCTGCATCTGCTCTCACGAGCTTCTGAGAGCCTGGGCGTGTTTCCAGTGCTCCAGCTTACAGGCCACCGATGGGGACAGCACACACGCTGGCCCCTTAACCCCAGGGCCCCTCCTGGCTGAGCCTGCGACTGCCTGATCTCGGCTCTCCGGGGTGGCTGGCTCAGACCTGTTCCTCAGAGCGCAGAGCCTTGGGTCGCAAGAACATCGCCAGCAAGCCGGGCCCTGGCCTCAGCGTCTGCAGCTACAGCTCAGGGGAGGGAGGAGGGCTGTGTTTCTCGTGTAAATTATCAGCGCGTTCAAGGCTTCCTCTGTCGCCGCAGCGCCCAGACTGCCTTCCTGAGAGGATGGAGGGCTGGAGGGCGGGGGTGGGTGGGCTGCACACCCCTTGGGAATTGGCAGCAGGACGCCTTGCTGTGGATTCCATGGCCCCGTGCCCGCTGAGGTCCTGGCTGGCTGTGGCTACTCTGGGGCACTGTCCAGCACCCCAAGGGTCCTGGCTGGCCACAGTAGGTGCTGCTGGCTGAGGCAACGACCCGGGGCAGGGGGCTAGGGGAGAAAAGAAAGAACAAAGGTCCTGGATCACCCACCATGGGTAACCTACCGCCCTCCAGCTGCACCACGGTCTGCTCAGAAGGACGCAGGGAGCAGAGCGACAGTCCAGCTGGAGGCACCGTCTGACACACGGCCTACCCAGGCTAGATCCCCGTGGATCCCTGGAGCCTGCCAGGAGTGATCCCTGAGCACAGCCGGGCGTGGTCCAAAACCCAAAAGCCCCACTTCCCCCAAAATGAAGGAAGCGAAGAAACCACAGCAGCAGCAGAGACCAGATGGACGAGCCTGCATAGCGGATGGAGCCCTTGGTGATGGATGGAGCCTGCAGGAGTGGGTGGAGCCTGCAGTGATGGGTGGAGACTACAGTGGTGGGTGGAGCCTGCAGGGATGAGTGGTGCCTTGGTGGTGGGTGGAACCTTGGTGGTGGGTGGAGCATGTGGCGGAGCCTGCTGTGGTAAGTGGAGTCTTGGGGGGTGGAGCCTGTGGTGGTGGGTGGAGCAGAAGTGGGTGGAGCCTTGGTGGTGGGTGGAGCTTGTTGTGGCACGGAGCCTGCTCTGGTAAGTGGAGTCTTGTGGGGGTGGAGCCTGCAGCAGTGGGTGGAGCCTGCTGTGGGATAGAGCCTGCGGGGATAGGTGGAGTCTGTTGTGGGGGTGGAGCCTGCAGCAGTGGGTAGAGCCTGCGGGGATAGGTGGAGTCTGTTGTGGGGGTGGAGCCTGCAGCAGTGGGTGGAGCCTGCCGTGGGATAGAGCCAGCGGGGATAGGTGGAGTGTGTTGTGGGGGTGGAGCCTGCAGCAGTGGGTGGAGCCTGTGGGGATAGGTGGAGTCTGTTGTGGGGGTGGAGCCTACAGCAGTGGGTAGAGCCTGCGGGGATAGGTGGAGTCTATTGTGGGGGTGGAGTCTGCAGCAGTGGGTGGAGCCTGCCGTGGGATAGAGCCAGCGGGGATAGGTGGAGTGTGTTGTGGGGGTGGAGCCTGCAGCAGTGGGTGGAGCCTGTGGGGATAGGTGGAGTCTGTTGTGGGGGTGGAGCCTACAGCAGTGGGTAGAGCCTGCGGGGATAGGTGGAGTCTATTGTGGGGGTGGAGTCTGCAGCAGTGGGTGGAGCCTGCCGTGGGATAGAGCCTGCGGGGATAGGTGGAGTCTGTTGTGGGGGTGGAGCCTGCAGCAGTGGGTGGAGCCTGCGGGGATAGATGGTCTGTTGTGGGGGTGGAGCCTGCAGCAGTGGGTGTAGCTTCGTCGGGGAGCGCAGGATGTGTCTCCCATGAAACCCCCATCTGATGCTTGGGCTAAAAAGGATCATACAGTAGGTTGGGAACCCCTAAGCCAGGCCTGCTTTCCGCCAATGTGCCTGCGGGGTCCGCCAGTCACAGCTGTGCCAGCAGCCCCCTCTTTCCGCAGGGCACCCCCTCATCTGTTCTGGGCTTTTTCCACAGGCCTCCGGGCCGTGGGCACCTGTGCACTGTTGTTCCGTCTCATCCACCACCTGCCACCTTCCTAAACCCAAGGAAGCACGTGGGTTTGTGGGGGGAGGGGGAGACTGGGGTGAAAAGCTCCACCTTGTACCACCCTCGTTCAATCTGCCGCCCCTCCGTGTCCAAGCATGAATGAGACCCAGACACCACCTGAATCCATCAAAAAAAATCAGATTCTTTATTGGTCAACTAGATTCTTCTAGCTTCGGCTCACAGTGGCACCCTAGCCCTCCCTGTCCCTCCTCCCACTCTCAGCCACAGTGAAAGAACGGCAAGAGGGGTCACAGGGCCAGAGCCACCGGACCCCTCGTGGAAACCACGTGCTGGCCTCCAGGGCCACGGGTGAGGCCTGGCGGTGGCAGGCAGGCCACAGATGGTGACCCTGACCCTGGCCAAGGAATGAGAAAGGGCACGGAGCCCAGAGGGGAGGCCAGAGAGAGGGCAGGTAGGTGGTCGGGGCGATCCCTCGACTTTGGTCCTGGACAGAGGCTGAGTGAATTGGTCCAGTTTAGGAGAAAAGTTAAGTGCTGGCGAGCACAAGAGATGGCCCTCAGGCCCGGAGCATGGCACGTGGGGTGGGTCACGGGAATGTCACTGCCTGAGAGATTCTATATATTAACATCCATGGGAGGGCGGGCCGGCGGTTGCAGCATCAAAGGATCTGGCGAGGCATCCCGTAGCCAGTCATGCCCGCCTGCGACGCCCCGCGGTTGGTGCCCATCTGTAAACCGATCACATTCTTGCCCTCCTGCAGCTGTTTGTCTGAGAAGTTCCGCGGGTTCTCCTTGGATTTCCTGGGCAGAAGAGGAGCTGGTTGGGACAGACCCTGAAAACGTGCCTGCTCCCTGATGGAGCCCATCCCTGCAGGGGCTAAACCCCCGAGGACCCCCGCCTCCCGCTGGGAGGACCCAGAATACTCACTTGGGGAACCAATTGGGGTCTCCAGAGAAGAGCCCGTCATCCCGGGCCACCGCCAGCCCACCCAGGTTCATGAGAGTTCGCTGCACACAGGCCATATTCTTCCCTGCAGGGAGGGGGTGGAGGGCTCAGCTGGGCCCGCAGGTGGCGTCCCACCTGGTCCTGCCCTGGCCCCCAGCACGGCCACATCCTCCTAAAGCAGACACCCCCCACCCCACGCACCCAGCACTTGCCTTCCCAGAGGTCAACGGTCTGGAAGATGTCGGTGGTGTTGATGCCATAGCGCTCGGCCGCCTGCAGGAACTGGGAGATCTGCTCCATCTGCTTGAAGGCCGTGGTCGAGGCCTGGATCTTCTTCACAGGGCCCTGGCCCTCGGGGTGCAGCCCGTTGATGAGCTCACACAGCACCTGGGAGCACAGATGTCCAGGTAAACCCCGCCCCCCGCCAGGTGTGCACACACGCCATGTTCTCCCCAGGGCGGTCTGGGGGGTACCCGCGGGGCAGGCTCACCGTGCCGTCCTTGAGCCAATTCTGGAAGTTGTCGCGGCCGGGCTGGGGCTGGCCCACGTCCTTGCGGCACTGGCCGCAGATCCACTGGATGAGGATCTGCTCGAGGTCCTCGTCGTACTGCTTCTCGATCTTCTGCTGAACCTCCCGGCTGAGGCCATAGGAGGGCCCTCGGTTGGCCATGGTGACGGCGGTGACGGCTGCGGAGAAGACACAGTCCAGCTCGAGGTCAGGCGACCCATTTCCAGGAGCCGGAAGAGCAGCCCGAGGCAGGGCCTGGGTTTGACACGGCCTGTCACCCCACCCCAGCACTGCCGGCCGTCAGTAAGATCCTGGGGGGCCAGGATGCGAGCTCCGCCCCTCCAAAGGTGAACTAAGCCCACACTAACTAATCCAACTCTGGCCCAGACAGCCTGGGGTGGGGTGGGGTGGGGTGGGGTGGGGAGTGACCCAGGGGCAGGAGGAAGAGCTGGACGGGGCGTGGAGACAACGGTTTTTGTTCTGATTTGGGTTCTCGGAGATGCAACCCACACCTCACACCAAGCTGTTTCATTTCCGTTTCCGGACCACATCGGCTATACTCAGGGGTTCTTCCCCTCTCTGCACTCAGGAATCACTCCTGGGGGTGCTCAGGGGACCCCTATGGGTGGGGGAGCCCACCCATGCCAGCCACACACAAGGCAAGCACACTCCCTGCGGTACTATCTCTCCGGCCCCATGCACTTTTTCTTTGTTGTTTTATCTTTGTGGTTTTTTTTTTAATTTTTGCTTTTTGGGTCACACCTAGTGGTACACAGGGGTTACTCCTGGCTCATGCACTCAGGAATTACTCCTGGCGGTGCTCGGGGGACCCTATGGGATGCTGGGAATAGAACCCAGGTTGGTTGCATGCCAGGCAAACGTCCTACGCATTGTGCTATCTCTCCAGCCCCCTATGCGCGGGCAAGGTGCTGGGGCAGTGAGTCCTGGTTCCGCAGAGACCACAGAAAATGACGATGGACTCCAGGAACACTGGATGGCTCTGCAGCTGAGACTGCAGAGCAAAATCAGTACAGCCTGGAGGGCTTCCTACTAGAGGCAGTCCTGAGTGGGGCCACACTGCCCACGAGGTTTCCAGAAGCTTCACAGCAATGCCTGAGCCCGGGAGCCCCTGAACAGCGCCCCGGGAGGCAGAACAAGGCGCTGCAGGGGCTGGACTGAGGGTCTCTGGCATGTCCTGGGATCATAGAGGTGGGGGAGGGGGGCGGGAGGGGGCTCAGGCAAGAGGGGCTGGGCTGAGGGCCACCCCTGAGGCCTTAAGTTGGCAGGACCCCCTGGCCCCGGGCCGGCAGGAGCCCCTCAGGCCATGCTCTACCCTCCCCTCCCTTCCCCTCCCTCCCCCTGCATGGTCTGGAGGCAGGAACTGAGCCCAGGCTGGGGTTTCAGGGGAAGCCCGGGAGGGGTAATACTAGGGGCTTCCCCCGCCCCAAGAACACGGCATTTTCTGATCGCTGGCCCCGCACCGTGGGCCTCCGGGTGCTCTCCAAAGGGCCCCCCAAACGGGCTCCAGCTTCTGCGCGGCCCATATCTGGGGCCTGACATCACCCCAGCGCTCTCTCCCACGCTCCACCCGATGCCCCTGCCAGGCCCGGGAGAGGGGGGAGCCGCCGCCCCTCCCCGGTGCCCGCGCTCCTGCCCAAGCTTCCGGCCTCCTATCTGGGGGTTATTTTTAAACCACACCAAGCTGTGCCCACCCACCCAACCGCCCGGCCGGATCCCCGGCCGGATCCACGTCTTCGGCCAGAGCGGCAAAGAGGGGACACGAGGAAGAAAGTCTCCCCGATCTGCCCGGCCGGTGGCCCCCGGGGCCCCCAGGAGCCGGGGTGACCCTGAGGAACCCAAGAGACACCCCCTGCGGGTGCACCCGCCCTGAGCTCTCCCCAGCCCAAGACAATGATTAACCCGGGCCCAGATGGAGCAGACAAGCCCGGGCTGACCCTCCCAGCGCCACACAGCCCCGCTGGCACTGCCCGGGGCGCAGCCAGGGCAGATGGGACACGGCGCGCGCCGCCTCCACATCTGCGCCCGGGCTCCAGCTGCAAGGCTCTATCGCCCACGGGCAACCGGCAGAGTGGGGTGGGGGGCTGGCTGTTGGGGCTCCCGGGGGGCCACGACTCCTCCTGACCCCAGCCCTTGCAGGCCCGGGAACCCCAAGGGCAGAGTGCTGAGCGGGGAAGTGCACCCTAAACCCGAGGCCTGGCGCGTGCTTGGCTGGGAGCCCTGGGCGGCGAGGGAGGTTACAATGGGCTAGGCAGAGGGTGGCCCCACCCAAAGGGCGCTGCTCACCCACGGCGCCCTGCAGGGAGAGAGGGAGAGGAGGGGGGAGGAGAGGCACCTTCCCGGGCTGGGGTTCAGACAAAGGGGGCCGCAGCGCACAGGGGGGCCTCGTTGGAGAGCCCCCACCCCCCACGCCCGCGACCCTCGCGCGGGCCCCCCTTGCAGCTGCAGAGACCGCCCAAGCTCACAAACAGGAAGCCACAGGCCGGAGGGCGGGGAGGGGCGTTGCCATGGCTTCTGTGTACCAAACACAGGCCCGGGAACTGGGGGCGCGCAGGAACACCCGCGCGGCCGGGCGGCGCGCACGGCCCGGGCGCCGGATGCCAGGCTCGCGGGTGGGGGTCGCGGCGTCCGGGAAACGGGGCAGACGGACCCGTCCCCGATCCCGGATCCGCTAAGGTCCGGCCCGCACGCACCCCCGCGCCCGCGGCTCCCCGGTGACCGCTGCCCCGGCCACCCCCCTCCGCGGCCCTGCAGGCGGGAAGGAGCCGCTTCCGGTGCCGCGGCCGTTCCCCCCCCCCCCCCACGCCACACCCCGGGCCGTTAGCGGGTGAGTCACCCACGCCTAGGGTGACGCAGTGGTCTGGGCAGCGCGCCCGCCGGCCTTCCCAGCAGCGGGGGGCACGGGCGGCGTCTGCACGGCGGCCCCCACGCCCGGGCGGGGGCCCCGCGCGCGCACCAGCCCCGCGTCGGGCCCCGGGCGCACGTGGCCGGCCGGCCGGGAAGGACCAGCGCGCGTGAGCGGGGGGCGAGGTGGGCGTGGGACAGTCCGGGGCCAGCGGCCCGGGCACCCCCACAAGCCCCGGAGCGCGCCCAGCGGCCGCGCAGACCCGGGAACGCTCTCCAAACGCCCCGTCGGTGCGCGCGGGCCCTGCCGGACACCCGCGGGGCCGCCCTCACGGGGGCCGGTCTGGCCACCGCCGGCCGCCCCCGCCCCGCCCGACCCCCGCTGGCCGCCGCCGCCCCGCCCGACCCCCCGCCGGCCGCCCCCGCCCCGCCCGACCCCCGCACCCCTGGCCGCCCCCGCCCCGCGCTCACCCAAGCGTGCTCGGGGCTGTGCGCTCGGACGCGGTCGGGGCGAGTGGCGCGCCCGGGCCGGGCCAGGGGTTTTCAGCCGTCCCGCCTCCTTCGGACGGGGCGGACCCGGGGCGGGGTGAGCCCGACTTCGAGCCGTGCAGAGCCCAGTGGCCACGACAGGGCTAGGGCGGGGCACGACCTGCCCCGGATCCGGGAGGTCCCCGCCCCCGACCCCCGCGCTGGGGGCCTGGCGTGGGCGGGCGGGAGCCCTTCCAAGGGGTGAACAGGTAAACCGAGGCATGGGGAGCCGCGCCCCGTGCGCAAGGACAGCAGCCGGCCCGGTTTGGGACCCGCCCGGGCCGGCTCGGCAGTAGCCCACGGGGGAGGGCCCAGGACCCCTTCAGGCCTGGGCAGGAAACCGGTGAGGTCACTCTCAACCGGCGAGGGTGTGGTCAGCGCAGAACCGGCTGGGCCCAGGGCCTGCCTCCTCCGCCCGCCGCCTGCAGAGCCAGCCTCTGGGAGCAGAACCGGAACCAACCCGGAGACCCAGAAAAGGAGCCCCTCACGCTTCCTGCAGGTGGCAGGTTGCGCGTCCCCGGCGAGTTCTAGTGGGTTCCAGGCCCGAGAGGGCACGGGGGCCCTCCCTCCTTCCAGCCCCGAGCCCCGCAGCCCTAGCGGGGTCTTGAGGGTCCAGCTCCCCACACCACTTCGTCTCCCGGGCTCTTCATTGCGGGGGCCACTGATGGCCCGAACTCGGGCATATTCCCAAGGTCCAGGCAGCTGCCCGGCGTAGAGGCGAGTGTCCCCTGCCCTGAATTTGGGACAAGGTGCAGGGCCGACTCAGCGCTCACTGTGTCCGGGGAGGCCCACCATCCACCGCTCCCCCATGCCCACTTCAGCTCCAAGTGATGGCTTTTGCCAAGGGAAGACACCCCCTCCTCCCCATATGGGGGCTCAAGATCTCTCCACCCGTCAGATGCAAAGTCAGGTGATACAGAAAACCCTTTCCCAGCCTTTACTCAGCAGTAAAAAAAAAAACCCACACCCACACCACCACCCCACGCACGCCGGTCCAGTCTCCAGCCCCAGCTCCCTCGGGGCTGGGCCTGGACACGGCCGGCCGGGCAGCGCCCCTGGAGGCTTCACAGCAGAGTGGCCTGTTCCGGGTGCAGGGCCGGCCGTCTGCAGGCCAGCAGGCGGGTCCTGGCTGCGTCCCGGCGGCGGCGGAAGGCCAGGAACTCCTCCCGGAGGGCAGCACAGCGAGCCTCGGGGCCTGGGGGCCGCGAGGGGTGCGGGAAGCAGCCGTGCTCGAGGGTCTTCGCACCTGCAAAGGGGGCCACACGCGGGAGTGGGAGAGAGCACACAGGATGCCCGGCCAGGGCCCAGGGTGCCAGGTTGGGGGACCCCGCGGGGAGGCCGGGGCGCGCTCACCCTGCTCAGACGCTGCCTCCAGGGGCAGCCGGTGGACAGCCGGGCCCCAGGACACGGGCTCCTGCAATTCCAGGTCCCCGGGGAACTCGGAGTCCCACTCATAGTTCTCGTCCACGGATGTGTTCCTCCTGTGGTGGGGTAGGGGGCACAGAGTGGGTGAGGAGCCCAGGTCCCCCCACCCCGGGGTTGCAGGGGCGGAGCGGGGCGGGGCGGGGGCACCCTCACCTCTTGCTCACTGGCAGCACCTGTTCCCTGCGAGACCACCTCTCTGGGCCGCCCGCCCAGCTGCCCGTGTCTCCGGGAGGGGGGCTGAGGTAGCTGCCCCCTGCAGAGGGCGCGGTGGACGGGGGACGCAGGAAGGAGGCACTGCCCCGTCCACTGCTCTGGCTGGTCAGGCTGCCCCGGGGAGCGGCGGGGAAGACACTCGGGAGCAGCCGCTCCCGCAGCGTCCACTCGGCCAGCGCCCCCGAGGGGGGCTCCGGGGCGGCCCCTGGCGAGGCCACGGGGGAGTCCAAGGAAGGGGGCAGTGATGAGCGGGGGCAGGGCCGGGTGTCCATGTAATCCGGGGTCAGGCTGGGGCCCGTCTCCTCCAAGGGGGGCCAGTCTCTGTCCACGTTCATCTCGCGGAAGAAGGGCAGGCTGAGGAACTGGAGCAGCGGCCCGGGCGGGTCCGGCGGGGGCGGCCCCACGGGGCTGATGTCCGGGATGCAGAGTGGCCGCGGCTGCCCACTAGGGCTGCTGCTGCTGCAGTCACAGGGCCTGGCAGGAGGCGGCACCCGGCCGGGCCCCGGCCTTTCCTGGGGGGCCCCCGCGTCGGGGGCCATCACAAAGCGCCCATCCGGTCCCCGGGAGATGGGCTCCAAGGGCAAGGGTCCGCGGCTAGGCGGGGGGTCTGGAGGGGGGCTGGGGGCCCCCCGGGGCTCCCCCCAGAGCAGGCTCTGGCGCAGGCTGGGCTCCGGCGAGGCCTGGAGTTTCAGCTTGGTCACGCTGTCAGGAGTGCCCGGGCGGGGGTCGGAGCTGGGGAGGGACAGGAGATCAGGGTGTGGGGGAGGGCGCTGGGCCCCCTGCAGGGTTGGGAGCGGGACAGAGCAGAGCCAAGGAGCGAGCCAGGCCAGGAGGCCGCTGGGGGCGGGAGGCAGCGGCCCCTGGCCCAGGGGACCCGGCGGCCGGGCAGGAGGAGCACAGAGGCAGACACCTGCAGGAAGGCTAGGGGGGCGGCGCGGGGGCACTCACTGTGCGGCCGCCTTCCGGGGCGGAGAGAAGACAAGCGGGGGACCTGTCGGGGCAGGAAAAGGGGGACACAGACAACCTCAGGGCCCACGCATCTGACCCCAGGCTCGGGACACACACGGGCCACAGAGAGGTCTCCTCCCAGTGGGGGCCTTAGGGGCGTGTCCCAACCCAGGGGTGTGGCCTCCCGGGGCATGATCTCCCCTTGGGAGCCACCCGTGGTCTTCCCAGGGGCGTGGCCCAACGGAATGTGGCATTCACAGGGCGTGTCCTTTGTGGGAGCGCGTACCAATCCCATGGGTGTATTCTTCCCATGGGCATATCTAGGAAGAGGGCGTGGCCTCTGGGAGGCGTGACCCAGCCCAGGAGGCGTGTCCCTCTAGGGGTGTGGGCCAATCCCAAGAGTGTATCCCTCCCAGGGGCGTGCCCCAATCTGGAGGCGTGTCACTCTAGGGGTATGAGCCAATCCCAAGAGCGTATCCTTCCCAGGGGCGTGTCCCAATCGGAGGGCGTGGCCTTCCCAAAGGCGTGTCTGGCAAGAGGGCGTGTCCCTCCAGGGGTATGGGCCAATCCCAAGAGCGTCTCCTTCCCAGGGGCGTATCCCAGCGCTGGGGACGTGTCCCTCTAGGGGTGTGGGCCAATCCCGAGTGTATCCTCAGGGGCGTATCCCAGCCCTGGGGGCGTGTCCCTCTAGGGGTGTGGGCCAATCCCAAGAGTGTATCCCTCCCAGGGGCGTGCCCCAATCTGGAGGCGTGTCACTCTGGGGGTATGAGCCAATCCCAAGAGCGTATCCTTCCCAGGGGCGTGTCTCAATTGAGGGCGTGGCCTTCCCAAAGGCGTGTCTGGCAAGAGGGCATGTCCCTCTAGGGGTATGGGCCAATCCCAAGAGCGTATCCTTCCCAGGGGCGTATCCCAGTCCTGGGGGCGTGTCCCTCTGGGGGTGTGGGCCAATCCCGAGTGTATCCTCAGGGGCGTATCCCAGCCCTGGGGGCGTGTCCCTCTAGGGGTGTGGGCCAATCCCAAGAGTGTATCCCTCCCAGGGGCATGCCCCAATCTGGGGGCGTGTCACTCTAGGGGTATGAGCCAATCCCAAGAGCGTATCCTTTCCAGGGGCGTGTCCCAATAGGAGGGCGTGGCCTTCCCAAAGGCGTGTCTGGCAAGAGGGCATGTCCCTCTAGGGGTATGGGCCAATCCCAAGAGCGTATCCTTCCCAGGGGCGTATCCCAGTCCTGGGGGCGTGTCCCTCTGGGGGTGTGGGCCAATCCCGAGTGTATCCTCAGGGGCGTATCCCAGCCCTGGGGGCGTGTCCCTCTAGGGGTACGGGCCAATCCCAACAGTGTATTCTTCCCAGGGGCGTGTCCCAATCCCAGGGCCCATGCTCATAGGGGCGTGTCCCAAGATGGGGGCGTGTCCTTCCAAGGGGAGTGTGCCAATCCCAACAGCGATCCCTTCCCAGGGTGTCTCATTCCCAGGGGTCCTATCTCAAACCCGGGGTCGTGGTGTTTCCAGGGCCCTTTCCAACAGGGGGTGGCCTGACACGGGGGTCCCTCCTGGGGCCGAACCTCGAGCGTACCTTGGCGCAAGCGCTTGCGGTGGTGGCGCGCAGCCCGGCGCCGGTTCATAAGGCAGGCGGCGAGGATGCTCACGAGGACAGCGACGGTCAGGAAGAGGACCCCGCCCAGCACGCCGGCCAGCACGGGCTGCGGCAGGAGGCGGGCAGCTGCGTGCGTGACGGGTACACCTCCAGGCCTGGGGGCACGCGGGAGGGTGGGAGCGTGTCCAGTGACCGGGCTCCTGCCCCCTGCCCAGAGACCCCCAAAAGCCTCACCAGCAGTGGACACGTTGGCCGTGTTGCTGGGGCCGCTGACGTGGCCTCCTGCCAAGGCCACCAGGCGGAACTCGTAGAGAACATCCTGGGGAGGGTGGGGGTCGGGGTCAGCCCAGCGGCCCGCCCCTTTGGGACGTCAGAGTGAGTGGGGGGGGGAAGGTGGTCAGACAGGACCTACACGCACCTTGATGAGCCCTGGCACGAGCAGCTGAGTGTCTGTGCCGGCCACAGCGGGGTCCAGCACCTCCCAGCCCTGGGAGCCTGGCCGTCCCTCCAGGATGTAGCCGTCCAGTCTCTCAGGAACCTGTTCTGGGGGCTCCCAGTGCAGGAGGACCCCCCGGGGCGTCCTGGTGGCCACCAGGCGTCGCGGTGGGGTCAGGAGCTGCAATGGGGCGGTGGGCGGCATCCCAGGGGCCGTAGGCGTGGCCGGAAGCCCTGCACGGGACAAAGCGGTGTGAGGCAGGACTCCCGGCCGTCCTCCCCCACCGGCTGGTCCCTCCCCAGGGTCCAGCGGCACCTTCAGGAACTGTGAGCACGATCTCGCTGAAGGGCCCACTGCCCAGCTGATTCTGGGCCAGGACACTGAACTGGTACGGAGTGTGCGGCTGCAGCCCCCCCACGAGTAGGTGTGCGGTGCCCACGGGCACCGCCAGGGACACCCAGTCGTGGTGTGCGCGCTCAGGACGTCTGGCTCTGGAGGATGGGGGGTGTTGTGAGCCAGGAGGGGTCGGGGGTAGACATGCCCACCCATGGCCATCCCTCGGGCAGGGGGCACTCACAGCTGGGTGTACCAGACGCTGAACCTCTGAGGGGATCCTCCATCGAACCCCGGCTCCCAGGAGATATTCGCGCCCCGGGGTACAGGTAACACGGACACGTTGGTGACGGCATGGGGGCTGGTGCCTGGGAGAGAGTGGGGGTCCTGAGCGGGGGGGGGGGAGCTAAGGGAGCCTCCCCCACCCTAGGGTGACACCCCATCCCCTGCTGAGGGCGACCCGGCCCTGCTCTGCAGCCACGAACCTAGCACGTAGATGGTGGTGGACACGGTCACCCGGGCCACGGCGTTGCTAGCCGAACACTCCCAGCGGCCATGTGCCTCCTTGGTCAGCGGCCGCAGGACAAGGCTGCTGTTGCTGTCCACGTGGGCCCGCACCCCCCTGCCCACCTGCAGAGCCATCGGTCAGCTGGGGACGCTGGGCAGCTCCACTCACGCCCACGGGGCTCCCCACGCAGAGCACAGGGCGGGGGCTGGTGGGGGGAAGGAGGGACGGGAGTCTTGCCTTGGCCCAGGTGACGGCGGGGGGGCGGGTCTCCGCGGGCTGAGCAGGGAACGAGGAGCTCCCGCCCCACCTCCTGGAAGTACTCGTCCCGGGGCTGCTCTGTGAAAGCCGGGGGGTGCCTGCAGGCAGAGCTGGTGTTGGGGGGTCGGGCAGAGCTGGTGGGGGCCCCCAGGTGTGCGCCCAGCCATGCCGCACCTTGAGCAGGACACGGGTGATGGCCGAGGGCCCGGCGGTGCCCAGCCTGTTGTAGGGGGTGCAGGAATACTCCCCCAGGGCGTCCTCGTTGCCCACCATGACCACGAGTGAGCCTTCAGGGTCCTGCGACCAGCCGGGGAACTGTCGGGAGGGCGCCGGGGAGGCAGGGGTGAGGGCGGAGATGCCAGCAGAGGGCGCAGCCCCCCACCCCTCTCCCCTCCAGGCCAGCCAGCGTGGAATCGGCCTTCTCCAGGCCTGCCCTCCTGGCGGATGCTGGCCCTGCTGACCCCAGCCTTGACCTTCAGGCAGCAGGTGTGTATGCATGTGTGTGTGTGTGAGCAGCACACATGTATGTGAACAGTGTGTGTGTGCAGCGTGTGTGTGAGCAGCGTGTTGTGTGTGCAAGCAGTGTGAGTGTGTGTTTGTGCAGTGTGTGTGTGAGCAGCACACGTGTGTTAACAGTGCGTGCAGCGTGTGTGTGTGCAGCGTGTGTGAGCAGCGCACGCGTGTGACCAGCGTATTGTGTGTGTGCGAGCAGCGTGTGTGTGCATGTGTGTGTGTTTGTGCAGCGCGTGTGTGAGCAGCGCACATGTGTGTGTGAGCAGCATGTGTGTGTGAGCAGCGCGCGTGTGACCGGCGTGCTGTGTGTGTGTATGCAGTGTGTGTGTGACCAGCGTGCTGTGTGTGTGCGCAGTGTGTGTGTGAGCAGCGTGTTGTGTGTGTGCAGCGTGTGTGTGAGCAGCGCACGTGTGTGTGTGCGTGTGCGTGTGTGTGTGTGTGAGTGTGTGTGTGGTGCTGCCCATCCCCGAGGCTGGGCCTGCCTGGGACTGGGCTCTCTGCCCCTGTCCCGTGCGTGTGCCCTGTTCCCTGATGGCAGGTACCCACCCCCGCTGGTACCTTGTCCAGCTGCAGGACCTGCCCGTCCTTGGTCCAGCTGACAGAGAGCAGTGGTGGGTTGGCCCTGGCCGGGCAATCGGATCACGCCGGGCATGCCGATGGGCAGGGGCGTCTCCGGAGGCATCGCGGTGACCTGCGCTGGGTCTGGGGGAGCAGGGAGGGGCGGGCTGTGGGGGGGAGCAGGGCGGGAGCAGGAGCCAGGGGCGGGTGGGCAGCGGGCAGGGCACTCACAGAGGACTGTAAGGTAGGCAGAGGCCGAGGGCGGTGGAGGGAGCCCATTGCTGGGCACGCAGGTGTACCGGCCACCGTCCTCGGGCTGCACTGCCCGCAGCCACAGGCTCCCGTCCACCAGGATCCGCACTCGGGCCTGCAGGCGGCTGCAACGGGCGGTCTCGCTTGACCAGGGCTTCCCACAGCTCCCCAGCCCCCATCCCCACCCCGCACCCTGCCCTACCTGGGGTGGAAGACGTTGGTGCCATCGTGGAACCAGCTGTAGGTGAGGTTGGCCGGGTAAGCCTCGGCCCGGCAGGCCAGCGACACATCGCGGGAGGCATTGACTGTGCGGTTCTCGGGGGGCACCACGATGAGGGGGGGGCCTAGGGCACGCGAGAGGGGCTCAGCCCGGCTTCTCAGAGCACCCAGGGGTCTCAGGGCGCCTGGGCAGAGCCAGCAGGGGCACCCTGCGGCCCAGGGGTCTGTGAGGCCACCCCAGCAGGGCAGTGAGGCCTCTGTGTGATGGACAGTGGGGACCCCCAGGCTGGGAGGAGCCCCGGCCTCCCTCCTGCAGGGCCCAGCCTGCTTGGTGCACCCCAAGTCCCCTCTGAGACACGGTCCCAGGCACTGCCGTTTCCGGCCACGGGGCCAGCGGCCACTCTCTCACGCACACGCACCTAACACCAGCAGCTGGGTGCTGTGGACGGCGCTGCCCTCGGGGCTGGACGCCCGGCACGAGTAGGTCCCCGCGCTGCCCCGCTGCACCTGTCGGATGCGCAGCGTCCCGTTCTGCACCTGCGTGGTGAGAGCCCGGGCGCCGTCAGCCCTGCACTTCCCGCGCCGCCCAGCAGAGGGCAGCAGCACCGCTCCGCGGCGGCCCCAGCGCCAGCCTCACCTGCACGGGGCCCTGACCCGGGCCCAGGTCCTGTCCTCCAAGCATCCAAGTGACCTGAGGCTGGGGGCTGCCACGGGCCACGCAGTGCAGCGTCAGGGGCTCCAGCTCCCGCACCTCCAGCACCCTGGGGGGCGTCTCCAAGAAACGAGGGGGGCGCTGCAGGAGAGGCACCAGGTCGGCCCGAGGGCAGGGTCCAGGGTCCAGGGCCCACCAGGCACAAGGTCTGCTGCAAGCAGTCAGGGGGGCTGCACTGCGCCCCCCAGCCCCCAGCAGCGAGCTGACTGCTTCCACCCAAAGGGCTGCCAGGGCACCAAAGAAGGACCCCAGCCCCTCTGCCCACCACAGTTCACAGTGGGGACCCCCAGCCCCCGTGCCCCCACGTACAGTTCACGGCGAGGTGCACCCAGGAGCCGTTGGCCGCCTCGTCCGGGCTTGGCCGGTCCAGGAACAGCACACGGCACTCGTACCAGCCCTGGTCCTCAGCCCGGAGGCCCTCAATGTAGAGAGAGGCCCCTCTCTGCAGCTGGACCCGCCCTGGAGAGGAGCCTGGGTCAGCCGGGACCCCAGAGTGGACGGAGGAACCAAGGGCAGCGACCCAGAGTGGACAGAGAAGACGAGGGCAGCGACCCACAGTGGACAGGGAAAGAGGCAGTGAACGGAATCCTGGATGCCCCATGGACCAGCGAGACCTCCTAGTCCTGCACCCAACCCACCCTACATCAGCGGTCTACGTGCCTGAGCTTGATGGGAGCGCCACCCCATCCTGAAAGCTGTCCCCTCCACCCCCGTGCCCAGATGCATCACCCCTACAGGCAGGCGGAGTCAGGAGACCCTCCCTTCAGTCTCCACAGCCTCTGTTCAGCTCCTCTGCACAGTCCTGCCCTCCACTTTCTCTCCTGGTCGCAACTTTGTCATCTGGTTTCCAAACAAGCCAGGAGGGGTCTTCCAGGCCCCGCCCCGCAGCTAGGCCCCGCCCCCTCGGCCAGGGCCCGGCCAGTCAAGGCCCCGCCCCGCAGCTAGGCCCCGCCCACAACCAAGCCCCGCCCTCGCGGTCAGAACCCGTCCACAGTCAAGGCCCCGCCCACAACCAGGGCCCGTCCACAGTCAAGGCCCCGCCCCGCAGCTGGGCCCCGCCCACAACCAAGCCCCGCCCTCGCGGTCAGAACCCGTCCACAGTCAAGGCCCCGCCCACAACCAGGGCCCCGCCCTCTCGGCCAGGTCCCCGCCTACCGTCAAGGCCCCGCCCCCGCGCGGCAGGCGGCAGGCGCCGGCGGGCAGCGGGTGGGGGCCTCAACCCGCCTCTGCACCCAGGGGGGTTGCATCTGCTCTCAGGGGCGTGTGGAGGCAGAGCACAGCCACCAGGCTGCCTGCCAACAACGGCCCAGCGCGTTTGAAAATAAACCTCTCCCTGGGGCACCTGCGCGTCTGCTCCCCTGGCATGCGGGGGCGGCCGCCAGCCCCCCGGCGCCCGTGCCCCCCGCCCGGGGTCTTCCTCATTCAGACCGAACGGGGCGGGGGTGGGGCGGCCCCAGCACCCTAAGCCGCCCTAGGAGCCAGACTCCGTCGGCTTAGGAGGGAGGAGGAGGGCGCCAGTCCCCTGCCCCGCAGGGAGTCGGGAGGGGCCCAGAACCCCGACACAGCTCCAAGTGCGCGCGGGGGGCGCGCGCGCACACACACACACACACACATGCACACACGTAGGCGTCACGTGTGTGCACGCGTGTGCAGCTGCGCACGAACACGGCAGGGGCGTGATGCACACGAGCGCACGTGCAGTGCGGGTTGGCACCAGCCCTGGGTGTCCGCTCCCTGGAAGCGTGCGGCAGGGACCCCCCTGACTCCCACCTCCCCTGAGTAGACCCAGGCGCCTTACCCAGGTACTCGGGGTCCACCCGGGGGGAGTACAGGCCGAACTGGATGAAGATGGGCAGCAGGAAGCCCAGGCGCCGCCACTCGATGACATGCAGCGGGGGCCGGCTGGCGGGGGGCAGCAGATCGCAGCCCAGCAAGGCGCCCTGTCCCGCGCGGCCCACCACCGACACCACCTCCGGGGTCCCCCCGACCTGCAGCGGGGAGCGGCAGAGGGGGGCTGTCAGCTGGGGTGGGCGCCCGCTGACTCGGTGCAGCGGCGGCGGAGGGGTCCCCCAAGCTCACCGTCGGCCCCCTGGCAGACGAGCAGGCTGAGGAGGGCCAGGCCGCGGCACCCCACCATAGCCGGGGCCCAGAGCCCTCTGGTGGGGTGCAACTGGGCAGAGCTCCCCCCGGGGCCCGCTGCGGGCGGTCAGGGTCCCTCTCTAGACAGGCTCGGTGGCCGCTGGGGCGCTGGCCGGGCTGCAACCAGAAGGAGGCCAGTCAGAGGAAGGGCAGAGAGGCCACGCGGGCGGGGGTCCAGTTGGATGACGACAGGTCAGGGTGCTGGAGAGATACCCCTGCCCTCTCCTCCACCCCAAGCTGACCCGGAGGGCCTCGTGGTCCAGGCGAGAGCGAGCCCGTAGGCTCAGCGTGGACAGGGCAGGCCAGCAGGTGCTAGTTACCTCGCAGCTGGCCAGCCAGAGCCGCACCCCCGCTTCCTACTCACCCTCCACCCCACACCTCTGCCAGGCTGTTCCCCAGCCCCAGGGGCACGTCTGGGAGGTGCCACACGAGCCGGCCCGGGGCAGGAGGGCAGAGCCCGCGGCCAGCCCGGCTCCAGGAGGAGAGTGAACGGGCCGGCCCGGCCTCCCTCTCCACGACTCGGCAGCGAACATCCCCGGCCCGGTTCGGGATCCCCAGACAATTCCCCGAACTTCCCTCTTTCCAGGGAGCCCAGGCCTGGAGTCCGCAGAATTCCACGCCTTCCCCAGACCCCTGGGCTGCTGCCAGGACCCGCACGGGGGTGAGGGCACCCCCGTTCCACACCGCCACGGCTCACTGCACCCCGAAAGCGCGTTTCTCCCCAATGCACGGTCCTCTGGGCCTCAAGAACCCGCCTCAAGGCCCCCTTCCTCCCCTCGCCCCCCACGCGCGCCCCCCGCAACTCCCTCTCCCCCCTGCCCCCTGCGCCTCTCCAACTTTCTCACGCCCGCCCCGATCCCGGGGGCCCCAGACTCCTCCCGCTTTGGATCCGCCGAGCCCCCCAGACCCACCTGCCGGGAGCCCCCCGGGAATCCCGCTCCGCGCCCTGCGTCCCCCGCCCGGAGCGCCACTTCTCACCCAACTCCCCGCGCTCTCGGGACCCCAGAAGTCCGCCCTCGCCCCGGCTGGCTGCGCCGGGCCACACAATGGGGGGCGGGTCCGCCTCCGCCCGCGCCCCGAGCCCCGCGCCCGGTCGCCTGGAGACGACCAATCCCCTCCCGCGGCCGGGGGACCCGCGGCGGGCGCGACCCGAGCCGCCTGGGAGTTGTAGTTTGGGGCGCGCACGTGCGCGCGGGGCGCGGGGCGCGGGGCACCCCAGGGCGCGCGGCCGCGCCCGAGCCGGGGGGCTGCGTCCCGGGGATCCCCCGCCGGGCGCCCCGCCCCAGCCCTCCCGGGCCCCGAGGAAACCCGAGCGCGGGGCGGGGAGCGCCTCGTCCCGGGGGATCCCGCCGCTTCCCCGCCGGACTGGAAATTCCTGTCCGCGCGGCGCCCCGGGAGAGCCGGGGGGGTCCCGGGAGGGGTCCGCGCCGCCCGTGTCCGTATGGCACCGGGCTCGCGTGGGCCGGACGGAGTCCCGGGAGCCGCTGCCGCACCTGCACGGCGCGACCCGGGTCCACCCGGACCCGCCGCGCCCGCCCGGCGCCTGCGCCCACCTGGGCGGGCCCCGCCTGCCCGGGTCTGCCCACCTGTCCCTGCCTGTCCCTGCCGGTCCCTGCCGGTCCCTGCCGGCCCGGGGCTCCCAGGAGACACTCCTGGAAGTAGCCGGCCCAGTCTAGCGGGCTCCTGGCACCGCGCATGGACTCGGTCCAAGGGGAGCCGAGACTAGGGACGGCCTGATTCCACGGGGGTCCCGCATTGGAGAACCCCGCACGGTTCCCCTAGGACCCCGGGACCCGCAGTGTCCTTCGGCGGGTGCTGGGCTCTGACTCCACC